ACTGTAGCGCCCCATCTTACCCATTGTAAGAACGTAGTCGCCATGGAGCTCACGGGAAAGACCAGAGCGCCAAATCGCATCATGCCGGGGGCCGCCCTTGCGAATTTACATCCCCCTTTCTCTCCCCCCCCCCCCCCCCCCCGAAACATTCTCGAGAGTATTCATCAACTCCCTAAACTTTTATGGCGATCGGATGAAAGGTGTCAAACGCAATCGACTTTTAATTAAATAAAAGCAGCTTACTATATTCGTCTTTCATAATGCAAACACTTATTTTCCTTTGCTTTTAGATACACCGAAGTGACTGATGCAACTTGTTAATTTTGCTAATGGTGTATTTTTAGACAAGTGATCTGACTTTCTGATTGGTTCATGTAAACAATGATCCAGATTGCGTCATTCTCTAAAGTGACAAAAATCAACAGGAGGGTTTCTTTAACACGTAAAAAAAATTCATTTGGCGTGTTATTAACATCAGAATAAATGATGCAACTTGTTAGCGTTACTAATGGTGTATTATTAGATGCTCGATCTCAATTTCTGATTGGATCTTCTAAAAATAGATGATAATTGCATCATTCGTAAAGTGACGAAACTCTACAGGATGTTTCCTCGATTTACAAAAAGTTATTTTTTTTTTCAACATTCGCAAGGTGACGAAACTGTACAGAAGTGTTTCCTCGCGTTACAAAGTTATTTTTAGAAGTGTGACTTTATTGTTAGATTTGAGTTATCTACCGATTGTGTGTGTGTGTGTGTGTATAGTGAAAAATCGCACCCTCCAGTGGCGCCGCCCTTGCGAAATTAAATATAATTTTTTTACAGAACCCTTCCCCAGAGTGTTCTAATGAAATCACCAAAGTTTGATGGCGATCGGATGAAAGCTGTCAAACCAAATCGTTTTTTATTTTTATATACCGCATATAAAGAAAAAAACAAATCGCGCCCTGCCGGGGCGCCACCCCTGCGAATTTGAATTTTTTTTTTCGCAAAAACCTCCCCAGGAATAATCTTAACAACTTCCCAAAGTTTCATGGCTATGTGATGAGAGGTGTAGTAATGCATAAAAGACAAACACACATACATTGCTTTTTAGACAGACAGACAGACAGACAGACAGACAGACGGACGGACGGACGGACGGACGGACGGACGGACGGACGGACGGACGGACGGACGGACGGACGGACGGACGGACGGACGGACGGACGGACGGACGGACGGACGGACGGACGGACGGACGGACGGACGGACGGACGGACGGACGGACGGACGGACGGACGGACGGACGGACGGACGGACGGACGGACGGACGGACGGACGGACGGACGGACGGACGGACGGACGGACGGACGGACGGACGGACGGACAGACGGACAGACAGACAGACAGACAGACAGACAGACAGACAGACAGACAGACAGACAGACAGACAGACAGACAGACAGACAGACAGACAGACAGACAGACAGACAGACAGACAGACAGACAGACAGACAGACAGACAGACAGAGCGACGGATGGACGGATGGATGGATGGATGGATAACGTCTATAATTGTAGTTTTGGGAATGGTTTTATCACTGTGAGGGAACGCTGATTTCAATATATGACAGTGTTTCTTTCAGACTTTTACCTCATGGGGGGGGGCACTTGAAACTTTCGTATGGGGGGCGGGGGGGGGGGGGCACGGGTAAAAGTATCTATTTTTCTAAAATAAATTCTTTTTCGTTCGAGGGGGGGGGGGAGGGGGGATGGGAGGTGCGGTAGACGTGTTTCAGCGTAACCCCTTCCCCCCCCCCCCCCCTCCCCCTGAAGAGATACACGAAAGAAACTGATAAACGCTAACCTAGAAGAAAACCAAGGACATCGTAGGAAAACGGCACGCCAAGTTCGAACTTTGATTGGTCCCAGATGATTCTAATTTCTTATCTAGGTCAATCACCTAACAAGAAGAAGAAGAAAAAAAATTCCATTCCCCCTATTCCCCACCCCTTCCGCCCCCGGGCACCTCCCAAAATACGTGCGAACGAGCATTCAACGTGTCAAACGATAAGGTGTTACTTTTGTCTTTATCTCCTAAACCAACAAGCGCTGACCCACAGGCTCATCTCACCGCCCCAGCAGACGAGATCCACCTGACGTCACGGCCTGCCTACTCCCCTAAGGCTGGCGGGAAAAAAATGTTCGCAATGGCAGACCTACATCAAAGCGATATCCCATTCAACCCGTGCCAATCCTTCTTTTAAATGGAGATTTTATTCAATTAGCAAACGGCCTTGAAAAAAAAATGTGAACGATCTTTCTATAAGTAGATGAGGGGGATTAATTGAAGGGGATGGGAGAGGGGGGGGGGGGTGGGGGGGACCACGTAATCCACACAGGGGGGATTGTTCAGTGCGTCCAGTGGAGTGGAACTCTCCCAGATGTGAAAATCTACACCACTTGTTGAATAGACGTAAGACTTCCGGTCGTGTCAATGATGACTGAACAGCAGTAGTGATGGCGGGAGAGAGGCGGGGTATTTTCCACACACTCACCCCCCCTCCACACCTGTTTTCCCGCCATTCGGGGATTACGAGATTTAGCTTTTTAATTAACCAACTATATATAGGCAAAATTATAAATTATTTATATACGATATACAAGATTTAAACACACTATCTTCGTGTATACCCTTTTCCCCAACCATATACATTTTTCAAAATAAAGTATTTTTAGACAAGACACTTTTCTACATGGTGGAAGGGGGGTTATAAGCAGTGTTTCTTTCAGGCATCTTTTTGGGGTGATATCAAAATTATAATTACAAAACAAATTTAATTCCTTTTATTCATGGCGTAACTATTTCTAAACCCCATTTTCCCCTGTCCATCTCCAACAATGTTAAAAGACCACCCCCCCCCCGCTCCCAGTCTCTGACAAGTACCTAGCGGCCTAAAGAAACAGTACCTCGACACATCGACTGACCAGCCCAGCGCTAGACGCACCAAACTAGTTTCAAACAGCCTGGCAAGATAACCCTGTAGTCAGCAGAATCCACAAGCTGACCGTGTTTTCCCCATTCCTTTGTTGAGCTGTGTACCCCGCCGCTCCACCCCTCCCTGGTGTGTCCACTATCGAGATTAAAAGAATCGCCCTGGGGAGGGAGTGGTAGGGATGAAGCCTTAAAAATTTGTGTTGGTTTTTTTTCTAATAAAAAACAAAACAAAAAACAATACCAACTTTATTATCAACGCGATTTTCTTAAGAAGATAGTTCACGAATTATATAGGTCAGTAAATACGTTCAAGGCCATTTCACAAATCTTTATTTAACATATGTAAGCACGATGTAAATGTAATGTTTCTCTCGCTCATAGCTATAAGGTTATTATCGTATTTATTATACAGTTGAGTTGTTATCCGGAATTTCAATTCATTGAACAGTTTTAAACACTTTTAAGGTTTTGTTTTTCTATTTATCTATAAAGTAGGTCAAGGATATAGGTAACCATTGAATTTTTGTGAAAGGGAAACTAGGAGAAGCGGGTGGCTTAGAAAGTAGTTCGAAGATGTATAGTGAAGAAATACTTCCGGTTCATTTCTATCTAGTCCACCGACCTCACCCTTAGTTTTTAAATAGCCTCGCCTAAATTTCCCTGCGAGCGCGCGGTGTACAACGTTTTGGTACAACGTAGCCTTTAGTTAGCACGTCATCACCCACGTGCCGCGGGATCTTCCCGCATGCCAGGTGGTTGGAGAGCATGCCAGATTTTCTGTCCATTGTGCCGTGCCTGTTTATAAAAACATCTTGAGTTGCCCTTTTGGGGTTTGACACTTCATTTGAACCTACTTCTGCTGTCTTACCCCCCCCCCCCCCCCCGAAACTCCTACGCACTGCTTTCATATCTGTCAATTACTTTTGTTATAAAAAAATCTAATAATTACTATAAGCCTCGAGAATTAGGCTACATCTACTTACGATAATTGAATAACTTATTCCTCTATTGAAAATTAAATAGATTAAATAATGACATATCTAATTTTTACACAAACATTCATTTATTTTTAAGTGAAACCGTAACAAGTATAAAAATTATGACGGTATTCAAATAATTTGATCATTATTTTGTCCTCGAATTATGACATTTTTATTTTATGTGCTAACTTTTAGACCTTTTTTCTGTTTTAGAATGTAGGGGCCTAATAAATTTATGAAACCTAGACAAGCAATGTTTTGTTTAAAGTTACAAATGATTTTACATTTTTCAGTCAATTGTTGACCTTGAATATATTATTCTTTTGCTTTCCATTTCAAGATTCTACCAACATCTCTTCCTATTCCCACAGGCTTTTAGGGTTCAAAATGTTTTCAAGAAAGCCATGCCAAAAATAGATTTGAGCTCCGATTCATCAAAATTGAGCTTGCGTAATGGTTAGCTAATACCTCGGCAGTCTTTGTTCGTTCGGCCAATCTGGCAAGACAAAAAAAAAAAAAACACAACAAACCCATGGCAAGCAACAAAGACTAAGATAGGGGAGGCGATCAATAACTAGTCGGGCGCATCGTAGTATGGCCTCGAGAAAATTCCCGCCACTATTTTTCACTACAATGCGTAGGCTAGCCTAGTGGCCAGCGAGTGGACGGTACGTTTGGAGGGAAAACAATTTTAGGAGTTCAGAAAGGTGGTTGGTGGAGGGGGGGGGGGGGGGCGAGGTACATCCTAGCCCGCCCCCTCCCCACACGATACGGTCCGTGGATATAGGGGTGGCGGATCAGGGTCCGCGCCATTTCCATCAGCTGCTCATGGCGAGCAAACACCAGGACTGATTAGGGGCAGTTCAAGTTTGACCAGGATTAAGATACTCTGTTCAAATACCTGCAAGTGATAACATGGGGTTATCTTGTGCTGGAACTCTGATAGATGTTTGTAACTATTCATTTATTTAAACTGTTGCTTCAACACTGGAAAAGATCAACGAAAGAAGTATTTTGTTTCTTAAAAACAACTTCTTAAAGTAAAGCCTAGTGATGTGAAGTTCTATTTCAAATTTTGGTTTACAAGAAAAGATTCATTCGTAAGTATTAGTCCACATTAGATTCTAAGTATTTTTAAAATAATAAAGTAAAGCCAATATATTCAAAGTTACTACGCTGGACAGTAAGAAACTTATTCTTACTTAGGCCCTATTTGATAGATTTCTAGATCTAGATCTAGATCTAGATTTTTAGTGGCCATCAGTTACTTTTTTCCACGTGCCTAAGTTTCTAGAATCTAGATCTAAACTAAGATCTAGATCTAGATCTAGATTTACAAACAGTGGGCCTACAATAGCCTACCTAGATCTTACATTAAGATCAGATTTTAAATGATTCAATAACACTAGATCTAGTTCTACATCATAGGGTTGAGTTTAACTAAGTCAACATTCTAGATTACACTCACTTTATATTTATCATATTTCTAGATCTAGATCTAGATCTTTCTTGATCTATCTTCTATTAAATCATGGCATATAATTTATATAAAAATGATAAATATGGAATTACAAAGACCAAGGGAAATAACACTCAATACTTTACAATACCACCCACCCCCTTTATTTTACTGAAAGAAAGGTCGCGCGAAACACAAACGAGGCTTGCCAGGTTGGACTTGACCTAAATGGACTCCGTTCTAGCCAATTCAACTTTTGCATTAAATTTAAACCTTAGGCTCCTTATATTAAAAGTTTATTTTTAAAGCAAACATAATTTTAACTAAGCTAATAATTTGTAATTAAATATCTAGATTCTAGGCCCACATTAAACTTTGATAATTTAATAGCCTTCTTAGTCTGATTTTGTTGTAGAATTAAATTTATAGGCCATTTTGTCGATTTCTATTCATTTAATCGTACAAAAATAAAAGCTCGTCAATATTTTAAATCAAATAACGGCTTTCGTCAAACTTATAATGATGCCTAAGATAAAACCAATTAGCCTATTGAAATTATAAATTATTTTAATTTTAAAAAATAACGTGTTCCGTTTTAAAATCCTGGCAGTCATCAACACAAAGGAAAACTGCGGGAAAATGACGCCGACAAAGGAGGGAGATACTTCTACTCAAGAAACTACTGGTATATTTTAATGCATTATTTAATTTTAATTGTATTTAGTCAGTAAGATACTTCAATTATCATTTATTCAGAATTCCGAGCATTTTTTGTGTAAGTTGTTTGCGCAGTGCTGCCGATGACAAAACATTAGCAGTCACCTCGCGGTCGAGGTGCGCCTTCTGCGATTTCTTTCTTCCTTTATTTGTTATTGATGAGTCAACGATCTTTGTCAAGAGTGGGATAGTGTTCGATAGGTTGTGTTTTATGCTCTGCATTTTCAGTCTTGTGAATTATTGCGGTTGCTCAATTCTTCCATTAGTTCGAAATTAATTTCAGATCTAGATCTAGATCTAGAATCTAGATTCTTGATTAGATTTCTAGTCTAGATTCTTTCTCAACTTTACTAAGAAAATTCTAAATCTAGATTTAGAGATCTAATTTACTAATTAGTTACCTAAGTAAATACCAATTCTAGATCTAGAATACTAGATTCTAGATCTACTAAATACAGGTCTAGAATTCTAGATTAGATCAAGTTGCACTTTTCAGTGTCTTAATTTTTATAATAAATAAAATTGTTTCATGTTTTGTCTCCCATAATAAAAGGTGGCTCTGACAATTATCACTATCACATGTCTAGATCTAGATTCTAGATCTAAATCCCCGCTGGATTCTAGATATCTGGATCCTTAGACTGAATTCTTAATTTGATTTTTAGATCTGGTCTAGATCTAGATCTCTGTTAAATTGTTAAATCAACTTAAATTTGATAATAAAGCTTAAAACATGCTTAAAAAGGTTAAAATCAAATTATGAACAAGATCTAGATCTAGAATCTTATTTTTTGTCATAGTTAACCTAGATCTAAAATATTCTAAATTGCTATGGCTTGAGATCTGTTTTAAATTATTGTGTTTGATCTAGATTCAAGGCTAACTAAATTCTGCACATTTTTCTCAAGTCTTTGTGTGATTCACTTAATGTCTACTACATCTAGATGTAATTAGCAAATAGATGATTTATCTACTTGTTTTTTAACAGCTGATGTAAATGCATATTCGCTTGCCCAAAATCGTGCAAGAAGGCAAAAGAATGAGAAGAAAGGAAAGTTGTCTGCTTTTGAAAAGCTGCGGCAAGCGAAAGAAAAAGGACTTAAGAACAAATATGAGGTAGTTAACTAATATGATTGTCTTTTTTCAGGCTTGTGTTATACTTAGTACAATAACACCAGTAAAAATTGCAGTTCACTTACTTAAGCAATAAAACAGCTATTGTCATCACAAAACTTGCTATTATCTGATAATATAAGTGGTGATTCCTCATTGATTTTTGGACACCAATCAGAATAACATTAAAAAATGTATTTGATAGCCATGACTGAGAGTGCTATGTTTTTAAATACATTTTAGATTGAGGAAGAGAAAAGTGTTTATGAAGAAGTTGATGAGGGCGAATATTCAGAGCTAGTTAGGCAGCGACAGGAGGATGATTGGATTGTAGATGATGGTGAGTTTTGTGTAAATTAGCTTAGGTACGTTAAAACCTTGCTAAAACCTTCATATTTAAAAATATTTTTTTTTGTTAGATGGTGCAGGGTATGTTGAAGATGGTAGGGAAATATTTGATGATGATATGGATGATGAAGCCCCATCAAAATCAAGTAAGTCTTATAAAGTCTTATTAATTACTTTTTTAAGAAATGTAAAATTATTTTAGCATTATTTTAGCATTGCATGCATTGGTTATAGTTTTAAATCTTGTCAACAGAGGGGAAACAAGAATCCAAGAAAAAAAATAGGAACATAGTCAGACCAGGAACCAAGCCTAAACAAGATATTGTGTCCATGTTTGCTAATGTTGCAGCCACTACTAAGAGAAAATCTGAGGTAGGAAAGAAGATATTTTAATACAAAATTTATTTTTTGTTGTAAGTAAAATCCTAAACATTTAAAGAGTTTAAAATTTTATTTTTAAAAATTTCATCCTTTTTAGAAAGACACAAGCATTGTAAAAGATGACATTTTAGATGATCTCCTGGGACAACTAAACAAAAGTTCATCCTCTAAGCCAGTGGTCAAGCTCGGCAAACCACAAGAAAAACTTCCAAAAAAGTAAGTAGAGGATTTTTCTTAAAAATCAAATTTAAATAAAAAGTATACCCACTTTTCCCCACCCTATCTATACCTGCTACATCTCTTTGTGCCTTTATTTAGACCTGCTCATAACCCTTTCAAGACAAGTACACAAGTTACTCCTAAATCTTCACCAATTATACAAAAGGCTATCAAAAGGGAGCTGTCATTTCCTAAAGAGGATGTGCCATTAAAAAAGAGTTATGTTGCTGAGGTCAAAATGGAAATTGAAGAAGAGGATATTATTGTTGGACAAGATATAGAAACTATTCCAGGTATTTATTGCTGTTCAATAAGCAAGAATGATTTATGCCTGTAGTGTGTTGTGAGTTTTCTTTGTTTGGCCAGTGAACATCTGTTCACTGAAGGGGAGATAAGTAGAGTGAGTTCTAGTCACTGTTTACATTTGAGGTGTTCAAGGCACTGAGTTGTGGTTCATTTCACAGCCATGCTTTGGCCTTGATAGTCTAGTTACTTGAACTTCTTCAAGTAGTAGGTTTATTTCAAAAGCTGTGGACTTCATTGGACTACTGATATGTGTTGGAGATAAATTATTTCAAACATGAACAATCTTCAGATGGATTTGTGCTATGTGCTCTTGCCCTCCATTAATCAGCTGCGATTTGTTTTTCAATCATATCACAGCCGCTTAATGGGCGATAAGTCACACCCTCTTCGTCAACAAGAGTTAGATGATTAACGACACTTTCCATAACCAGGGGACTTAAGTTAACTGCAACTGATCATTGAGGATTACTAGCTTGTGTTATGTTGAAACTTCGTATCACAGCCAGTAATCCCCTGTGAGCATGCGCAATTCTACCATCAACAATTCAACGTTAAAGCAGTGGTTAAAATTTACAGAAGACCAACTTGCAGGCCTCAATAAGCTAAGTATTTAACATTACCATAAAGTACTGGTTAGTCTCAGAGGCGTGTTGACTTGTGATTTGCTGAATGATTCATATCACAGCCGATACGTCCCCGAGATAGCTGGTAATCAAGCTATATAATCCTTCAGGATTTATGCAACCATTTAGTTTATACATCTAAGTTTAAGTCATATCACAGCTGATTAATAAAATGCAGGATAAACAAGACTTGGATTTGGTGTAAAAGATGTGAAAAGCTGTCCTGGGAGTGTATTTCACTGTGATTTGTTGTTCATTCATATCACAGTCAATACACCCCTAGGAAACTTTTTTGATACAACACAAAGGCGGACTTTCTCGTTTGAAAGAATTCTACTGTTGACTGGGGTGTGGGGGTTGTGATTTGTTTACAAGGATCATATCACAGCCAGTATACCCCTGTTAACTGTTAGTCAAACATCAGAATTTGATAATTGTCTTGGCATGATTAAGGTAGTGTAGAATACGTCTTAGAGCTTGTCTCGGTTTTTCAGTTTGTTGTGAAGTGTTTGACTTCATATCACAGCAATTTGATGACCGAGAATGGTTTCTGGTTCCTGATTGTTTTTGTAATGCTATTTTTACAAGCTTTTATTTAACTCACTTACTCTGTCGTCAGTCGTCAGTCTAGACGGAAACGCAGGAGTGAAAATTTGGACAGTTCTACTTGACCGATACGATTCAGTTGGCACGTGGGTCAAGACATGAAGACAATGCAATCTGAAACTAAATTTGACTTAATTGGATGCCTAATTAATTTTTTATGAATTAATAAAAATTTGGACCGAATTAGTAGGCATGTCTAGCCAACCACACCACACGCGTCATCACCTTCAATAGCTGCGCCATCACGTAATGGCTGCGTTCAAAAACCATTGCGCGCCTACTGAACGTGATGTTCAGTAGGCGCGCAATGGTTTTTAGTCATGTAACTCTATTGTAAATAAAACATGTAAAGTACTGAAAAAAAAATTCATAAAAAACGTTTTAATAACGAGCTTTTATGTAATGATGCACTAAAAAGTAGAAAATAAATTATAGACTACTATTTAAATAACTATAAAGAAAAGCGTGGGTGTCTTCCTTAACATTAGTAAAGGTATCCAATAGATACTAAAGTGACCCACGCTTTTCTTTATAGTTATTTAAATAGTAGTCTATAATTTATTTTCTACTTTTTAGTGCATCATTACATAAAAGCTTGTTATTAAAACGTTTTTTATGAATTTTTTTCCATATTTTTATCTTGCATTATATAGTTCATAGTAGTGATGTGCTTTTATTTAAAGTGACAAACATCGTTAGAAATGTGTGGACCTACAACCCTGTTCGATAATTGTGATGTGTTATTGTTACCATATCACAATCATTGGATGGGTGTGTCGGTCTATTGTGTGCTTCAAATTGTATTTGTGGGTGATCCCAAATATCTGATGTCTAGTTGCTGTTGACATTTTTTATATAGTTCATATAGGAATGTTACTAGGGTGTTAGTGTATTTGTTACAAAGATTATCCTGCCTGCTCAGTGTCTGTGATGTGTCTGTAAATATCATATCACAGCCATTAGGTGGGCAAGATGGTTTTTATCTGCAGCAAACAGATGATGGACAATGTAATTATCATTTAGCTCTAATGGATGATTTAATTATCTTTCTACCTCCTTAATGGTGGTGATGTGTCTACCCTCATATCACAGCCATTAGGTGGGCGAAAAGTTAATGTCTTTTCAGCTAAGCATCAACAATTCTTATGAAAGAATTTTGATCTATACATGTTAATCTTATGGCAATACTATTTTATTTTTCAGTTTCTTTGCTAAATATAAAATTAATATCAAAATGTGCACACAGTTTACAGCAAGGTATACTTTCAATAACTTGTTGTACTATTTGTAGTATGTCTGAAGTTCTTACTATTTGAGAAGAAATATCTTCCTCCCTACTATTGGTTCGTGATGTGTTCAATCTTCATATCACAGCCACTAGTGGGCGGGATGGTCTTTATCATGCAACAACCCAAATGTTTATTGAATACTTGTTCAGTTTGATAGTACCATTGCAAATACCACTTAGATACTACTTGCAGGTTGATTTATCCTACCTTTGCATCTACTAACTGCTGTATATGTAATTATTCTGCACTGCTGAACCTTGGATGTTGTAAATTACGTTCCCTGTCAATGTGGATGTGTTGTTGTAACCTCATCACAGCCATTTTGATGGGCAGTGTGGTTTGCATTTTCATCTGCATGAGTGTTGTAGTTATGCATTGCTTAGTACTTCATGTAGGATGAAGCTATTATAGAGTACATTGTTTTACATTTTGTCATCAAGGAATGTTCTAAGTATAAAAACAGTACTTAAGTTTGGTGGGTTTGTATTATTCAAGGCTGTTCGAGAAATGTATTTTGGCTTTGTTTATTGTAGTTTGAATCTTGATGCATTGCTATGCACAGGCAGAAGTGAAAGTGTTCTCAATTCTTGTCAATTTGGATGTGTTGATGATAAAATAACATCACAGCCAAACTGATGAGCAAAGAGCTCACTCCAGTCAACAAGAATCTCATTTAATGGTATTGATTTCTTATTTATTCTTCAGGCTTTGTTATTATTGCTTACTAGTTCTAATTAGCTAAGTGACCTTGTTTGAGCTTACGTGTCCTGTCCCAAAAAACAAGTATACCAATGCAATGTTGTAAGGCCTAGATGTGACTGTATTTTCAGATGTGGATTTGTCTGGCATAGACTTTGATGTTGATTTCCCCGAAACCAAGCAGTCTCCAGTGAAAGTTAAAGGAGAAATCGTAACTGTAAACCATAAGCCTTTGATCAGGTGAGTTTTTTTTTAGCTATTTCTTTGTATGATTTGATATTTTTCTGTGATAAATAAAAGTTCATATTTCATATAAATGAAGCCTTCCTTTTTGTGTCCATTAATTCAAAGATGTAATGTACGTGTTTGAATTCTAGTGCTTGTGCACTATAACAGTTAAATGTAAAAAAATAAAAAATAAAAAAATAATACAAATTAAAGTAGATTAGAGAATGATAGCTCTTATTTTAAAAAAAAAGATCTGAACGAATTGGCTAAGATTTGTAGGGAACAAGTTAGCTTTAGCCCATCCAAATTAGCCAACATTAATATTTGTTGAATAAAAACACTAGTATTGTTACTGTTTTCATTAGTGAGGAATTATTGAATGTGGGCTGGGACAATGTCACTGACCAATCGGAAGCACCAGCTGACGTCCAAGTGGACTCATCTCAGCTGCCATTGGTGGAAAATTCTGAGGGGGAACAAGTGTTGCGATTCTATTGGCTAGACGCTCATGAAGATTCTTTCCACCAACCTGGTTAGTATGTATTAAACAAACAGGTTTATAGTCCAACTGCCTTTAGCATGTTAGCTAGATTGTATGTTGACCGTTGGTCAGTTATAGGCAGCTTGCTAAATAGATTGGGTGGCCATTTGGAATAAACATTACAAATCTTAGTAAGTATGAAATTGATTGGCATTAAATCTGAGGTTTATTGAAAAAGTAATGTCACATATAGTTTGACTAACACATCTTCAGAGAAAGTTGACATACTAAATGAAAGGTAACACCAGTGCTCATCACATAATTACACTTGCTAGCTATCATAAACAGCCCAAAACATCCAATCTGAGTATATTGTATGTTCTCAAAGTGAAATAAGCTGAATTTTTTACACTAGATTTTGGGCCAAGCATCTGTTATTTCATTTTTGTATGTAGCAATACTGCATCAAAGAGTGCTGTTTTAAACTAAACCAAATATAAGAAACTGGTTGTCAAGGGAGAGAAATCTTCGACATTAACAGTGTACTTCAAACAAAATGCATGTTTGGTATAACTTGAGCTAGGTATACAAAAACAAGAATATAACCCACCCATTTATTATTTATTGGTAGAACTGTATTTTAATTCAATGGGGTTTCTTGAATGTGCCTGGAAATAAAAAGTTAAAGTGGCTCATTTATAAGGTGTCTCAGATAGGAAATCCTGGACATTATAACAGTTAATCGTAATCTTGTTGCCATTTGGTGTAAAGTAATAAATTTCAATTGATGGTATTTAAAACTGGTGTACAATTGTACTTAAAACTGGCTTTGGTTTAAAAGAATTAAATTTTGGGGGTTGGAAAAATAACCATTCTGAAATTCAGCCACCATATACACACATTAACACATTCTGTGATGTGAACAAAACAATATTTAGATGTTAAGAAAAGTCATGGCGGCCTGACAAATTACAAACAAGCCAACCTGTCTAGTGTGACTGATCAGTGAAGTTTTTTGGCAGTTGGTCGACCCAATGCTTAGTAAGCAGTTGGACTTCAGATATTCATTGGAGATAGTTGAGTTGGGAGTAGATATTCATTGGAGATAGTTGAGTTGGGAGTATGGAGCATAGATTATAGCTGAAAGTAAATGGTGGTAGTAATAGAAAGTTATAGTTTGATAGTATAAGTAATGTGTAGGATGAATTAGAATTAAGAATATTTTGATTGTGCACATAATATAGTAAGCATTAAAATTTGAACAGCATCAGTTGTTATTCAGGAATCTGGAGCAATCTGTATGGCATTAAGTGTCATTCTCCTAACACTATGCACAGTACAATGTATAAGACACCTAACACTTGACCACACATGTCCTTAAAAAGATGTCTCTCAGAGCCTAATCCAGCTTGTGTATATACCCCAGGTGTTGTGTACCTGTTTGGTAAAGTCTTCATAGAATCTGCCAAGTCTTATGTCAGCTGCTGTGTGGTAGTTAGGAACATTGAGAGGAGACTTTTTATTCTACCCAGGGTCAAGGTATTTCTTGATTTCATTTTGGAATGTACAAGTAGTGCTAGTGCTATGTTAATTGATCCCAAACCAATTTAACAATTTAATTTACTAAAATTCTTAAACTTAAACATTAGTTTAAAAAATAGAAATAACAAATCAGTGATTTGGTATTCAAAAGATAATCATGTTAGGATCATGGACACCAAATTTGTTCTGTGCAATTCGCATATAAAGCCTTAGGTATATTTGGATATATATAAAACTAATGGTTGGGATGACATTAATAAATAGGAATTAGAATATAGAAATAGTTTGTCAATTTTTCAAGAATACATAGGTGAAAAAATTCTAAGTATGCTACTATAAAATCAGTATAAAATACCTCTTGTGGTTATCAGAAATTGCTCAAAAGATGAAATCTATGTATAGGTTCTCATATACTTCTCTAAAATTTTGTCCACCTAATTAAATGGTACACAAGTAATTATGTTAATGCAGGTTGGAATTTTGATTTTTGCATTATTATATAAAACGCCCCTAAAGCTCCATTTATAAGGTGAAATTTTGGTAAGAGTATATCACTTTAGCTCTCCCACACAACCTCAACAAACATTACAATTGAGAATTGGCTCAGTTATATTTTTCAAGACTTAAATAACCGAAAATAAATTGATTGCATCAAATTTAACTTTTTATTTCATTCATGCCAACGTTGTCACACATTGCAACAGAAATTCTTAAAATCATAATTTATCAGTTTTTTGTTGTATCAGTAATATCTTTTTGCCTTAATCCAGGTGAATATTGGACAACCTGAACATTTGCACCAAGTGCATGTTTTGGATAAACATAAAGAACTAAATTATTTTTAATGAAGACAATCACTTCCAACTTAAACCAGTGAAATCCATTTTTTAACATCAAACAAAATATTAGTTGTACTTAACACATACAAACATACTACTATAAGCACTAACAAATCCACATGGCTTTCACAGGATGAATGTTTTTACGTCAGTTTTAGATACCTTACTTGCTGCTGAAGAAAATTAACTCATTTTTTAGTACAAAGTACATTTTTAATTAAGGTTCTTTTTAATTTGGAAGCTGATTTGAGTTTTTGAATAATTTGTAATTACTGTATATTATCTACATCTCATAATGTATGGATTTTCTTAAGCATTATAAAATCTATATATATAATTCTCTTCTGGGAGCCGTTAGAAAACAAGCTGCAAGCGCGCGCCTTGCAGTCCCCTCTCTTCCTCTCTATCGCTACCACCACCCACCCCCCTCACATGGTCAGGTGAGTTGTAGTTCACGCTAAATGTTAGTTTGGTGACAGCTATCAGGGGCAGATAATTCAGTTTGAAACTATTTTAAACTTAGAGGAGGTAACTAAGAGGAGGCTGCTATCACGCGGGGGGGGGGGGGGGGGGGGGGGGGGGGGGGGGGGGGAAATTGGGGTTTATTGTTTTAAAGCAAATATTTTCAGTGGCAGCATTGGTACTGTCGAATTCACAAATTATGAATTACCGAAAAGTAGAAAAAAACAACTAAATAGCGGCGTATGATACACCGCGGGTTGGCTCGTTAAATTTAAAACAAATAGCAATAAAATGAGAGAATTTAACAGGCTGAAATAAAAAAAACTGCCTATATGGGCCATAACTAGTTAATACTTAATACTTTGTGTTTAAAAGAATCCCCTCCAACACTAGAAATCAAGAATAAAGTAGTAGAAGAAGAAAAAGAAGTCAATTTAATTAGCACATTCTTATTGACAGTTTTTGATGAGCAAAACTTGCATCATTTAAAATATTCTCCCTTCCTCAATTTGATAGGCTACTAATCTTCCAAAAGCCAATATTTTTCATTTTAACTTCAATACTTGGATAAGGAGAATTTCACACAGAACACTTTGATGCCATGGCTTAATCGTTTGGTTAAGTAAAGCACTAATGTTGTAGTTAAATTTAATTGGCTTTATAAGCGAAAATAGTGAAAACCAAAATTAAAGAAAAGCATTGCTGATTGATTTATTTGAAATATTTTAATTCTAGCGTGTAAATCTGTCAACCAACCAAGAATTGTCTGAAGATATCACAATGCCAATGGTGTATGAAGAATTCAACAAAATTGCTGAGAAAAATAAAATTGATCAATTCAGATCAATGGTAAGAATTTCAAACTGAATTAGGTTTAAGCTAAACATTCTTTTCTTCTTGTAACCTGTCTGGGCTAGTATTGTGTGTGTACTATAGTAGTTTAATTTCAATTTTAAATGAAACAAAATCAGAAAAGTATTAATCAATGATGTTAGTTTCTATAAGTTATTGTCGTTTTCATCACAACTTCATTAAACATTAGAAATAAAAAAATTTATATACTTAATAACTCACAAAATAAAGGAATTTTTTTCAGAAAAAAATTCCTTAATTGAATGCTGAACTCACAAAATAAACAGCAACCTTGTTTATTTATTTTTAGAAAGTGAGAAAAAACTACGCATTTGATAAACTGGATGTTCCAGTGGAGGCAGAATATCTTGAAGTTCGTTATGCTGTGAGTACAAGTAATTTAGGAAATTATTTCTCCGAAAGGATATTTTTAATATTTCATGAATATATAAATCAATGTAACTTGTTAGTAATACTAATACTCTGAAGTGCTTCTAATCTTTTTAATGCTTCAGTTTATTAAATTGAATATCTAGAAATAGCTGTTCAGCATAGTTTAAAACGAGATTGTGAAATATTTGATTTTTTTAAAATGATTATTTAGGTAAATGTTAGTTAAGCAAATAGTATATCATACAATTTGATGTAATTAAATAGTTTTAAAATCTCGCAAATCGACCGCTGTGTGTATAAAATAGTTTTTTAAAATTGTTTAGGCTGACTTACCTGCACTACCTTCGGACCTGAAAGGGGAGACGTTCAGCCATGTGTTTGGCACAAAGACATCCAGGTATGCCAGGTTGGCTGTACCTGTGTCAGTGTTTAAAGTTTTGTGAAGTTGTTTTTTATTCAAGCATTTAGTGGAAACTATTTTCTAGGGCTGTTTTGGTTTAATTTATTGTGGAAAATTCCTTAAATTATTGTTGATGGTAACACTGAATGACTTAAATTAAATGCTTTGATTAAACATTTTATTTGATCTAAAGATAAATGAGATGTTTATTTGTCATTTGATGGCATGATCAAGTGTAATCACATTTTTGTTTCATGTTTTCTTTTTAAAAATCTTTTAAAATCAGTACCTTTTATGATGTATTTGCTTATTTATGATGTATTTGCTTATTTAATATTAAGTAAATGGATCAACAACGAATAACTGTTTGTTGAAGAAATATCAAGAAAAATAAACTTTAAATTGAGTTTGAAAAAGCTGTAATGATAAAAACAATTTCAAAAAGCAAATTATGTTTTGGTCCTTAACCTTTAATAAATATGAGGAATAGTATTTTTCATAATTCATTGCCTTTTCTAATAAATTTGTGTTTCAGCTTAGAACATTTATTGTTGAATCAAAAGATGAAAGGCCCTGCATGGCTGGATTTAAAACGCCCACGTAAGTTGATCATTGCCAATAAAACATCTCTTCTAATTCATAGAAAAAGTGTGTTGAAAGGTACATAACTGGCAATATTAAATTGGGATTTTTAAAAATATTTGTTCCAATGTATAATAGTTAGAAAAGTATAATTATTTCTTTTGTAACTTTCAGAATTACCTAAAGTAGCGACCAGCTGGTGTAAATTGGAGGTATAGTACACACTAAATCTATGATGTACTGTAATTAGCTTCTTCATACATCCACAAAAATCTAAGTAGTACTATAATTAGCTTCTTTATTCATACACCCAAGGCTTTACTATAATTAGCTTCTTCATTCATAAACAATATCTAAGTAGTACTATATTTAGCTTTTTAATACATACACAAAGTCTAAGTTTTACTACGATTAGCTTCATACATACATACCCTCAATCTAAGCTGTACTATAATTACACTATTTCTAAGTAGTATTATAAATAGATTCTTTGTTGTACACATTTTTAATATTAGTAGAAGCCAATATGCCCATATTAATATTATTTTTCTTATCTTTTTTTCATGTAATAAAAATATATTTATATTGCTAGTTTAAAATCCAACTTATGTACAAGTCCTTTGTTGACAGGCTGTGATCAGCAGACCAGGGGATGTAGTGGTCAGTAGCATCAGTAGTCCACCTCCTCCACTGGTAGTGATGTCTTTGAAAATTCAGACTTGTGCTGCAGATAAAAAGCAGAATGAGGTATTATTTTGTGTCCTGCTGGATGTTACATGTCCTTAGTCTGTGTGGGAGATAGTATTTATGAAAGTTTTAATTTAAAAAAAAACACCTCTGAAACAAATCTATACTGTAATTAACAAAGCTAATCACACAAAAAAATATAAAGAAAAATGTTAATTAACTTTGTCTATTTATATATAGTTGTATTAACGTTTATTTAAAGATAGTTGCAGTTGCTGCATTGGTTCATTACGACTTCTACATGGACAGACCAGCCCCTAAGCCATCTTTTCAGCAGCATTTTTGTGGTAAAAATATTTTCTATAAAAAAGATGTTAATTAGAATTTTAATACTAAGCTGTGCATACTAGACTGAAAAAACTCTTATTGTTGAAAAGATTATTAGTGGCATGTAATTAATTACTATATATGCAGTACATCTATGGATATGCAGTCTTCAAAGACAAAACAACTAATTTTCCATTTCCACAGTTATTAGCAAGCCTAGTGATGTTATCTACCCTTATGATTTCAGAGATCAGGTTAAAAAAGTGGTAGGTGATATTCTTGAATTACAAAGAATGTTTTCTCCCCTATTTTGACTGTTTCATTTACAAAATAAAAGCTAGAAGGCTAGAATTTAACTAAAACAATGATAAACATTACACATTAATTTAACAGGGAAACAACATGAAAATAGAAATAATGACAGGAGAGAGAACTCTGCTTGCTTTCTTGTTGGCAAAAATTCAAAAGATTGATCCAGACTTGATTATTGTAAGTATTTCTTGTAAAAAGTTCTATTTGTCATTTTAGATAAAAAAAAAAACTAAGTTACCCATAACACATGTAATAACAAAATCTTTTTCTAATAAACAGGGTCATGATTTCTATGGCTATGACCTTGACCTCCTGTTACATCGTATTAGCGTCCACAAAGTTCCCCAGTGGTCTAAGATCAGCAGACTCAAGAGAACGCAGATGCCCAAAGCCTTGGTAAGTATCTTACCTTCTTAACAACTTGTGTCACAAATTTCATTAAAACTAGAAGTAAAAATTGTTAATCACTGCTTTAACATTAAATTAATTTTCTTGTAAGGTATTTTGATATCATAATGATATTAAAATGCACATTATCTTTTGTATGACAATGCTCATTTGAACTGGTTTTCAGATGAAAATGTCCACCAATAATAATTTTTTCTTACTTAAATTTTAAAAAGTTCTCATAAAAATAAAAACTTGAGTTCTTTTTAAAAACCATTTTAGAAGATGCATGGAAGGACTACACTTGTAGACAGGTCCTCTCTAAGTGGGCGAATGCTATGTGATATACAAATATCTGCCAAGGAGTTGATTCGTTGTCGCAGCTATGACTTAACTGAGTTGACTGGGACAGTTCTGAAGAAAAACAGAGAGGTTGTAGAACTTGAGGATGTCAAGGATATGTTCTTGTAAGTAAAAAGTTAAAAATGTTTTTATTCTAAAATGTTGGATTTGAAATCCTACCTTTTAGACTGGGTAATTAACTAAGGTGATTAAGATTATAATCTTTAGCTAAAACATTAAAGTAAAATGCTTTCGTGTGTATGGTGCCTCGTAAATGACCGTCAAGTCAATACCATTAATCCGAGATGGGCGGGAGTCGTTAGATGCATGGTGTTAACTTTCTTTGACCAATCCCACATTTGTAGGTTTTGCATGGACAGTGAGTAGATGAAATGTTATCTACTTTTTTCTTTAGTCTGATATTCGTCATAAAAAGACTAGACTATGAACAAAGTTATTTATAAAATTATCACAAGACAACAAAGAATATTACTTTCTGATTATTTGGTACATTTTTTTCTAGCTACAGTCTAGATTCAAATTATAGTAGTTCATTCTTGATAATATAAAATCAGACTTATTACTCATGTATAAAAAAAAAGTATAAGAATTAAAAAAAAACCCCCAGATTTTACAGAAAATCAATGCGTTTGTTGCTAAAAATTGGGGCAGGTAGCCCTGTCATTTCCTCCACGCTTTAGAAATTTTTTTTACCATTTATGTGATTGTTTTCTTCATTTAGATCAAGCCAGCAGCTTCTAAAGCTGATAAAACTGTCTCTGATGGATTCTAACTTTATCTTGGATATCATGTATGAGCTGAATGTGATTCCACTGGCTCTGCAGATCACAAGTATCTGTGGCAACATCATGGTAGGTTGTTACATTTTAGTAGGTTGTAACATTTTGGAAAAAGTTGTGACATGGGAACATTGTAACTCTGGGTAGGTCATAATGGCACTCTTGCACTCTACTGACCCAACCACACGTGGCCCATAAACTTTAATTGAAAAAGAAATTTTAAGTAAATTATTTTTTGTTCAAGTGGGCATTGTCTAATAGTAGCAGTGCAGTCTTAGTTGTTTCAAATTTTAGTTCAAGTACACTTAAAATGTGATTTTGGGTACCGGTATAAAGTGTAGTGCTGGAGTAAGGGAAAGTATGTATGGTTGATAAATATGTTTAATTTTTATCTCTGTAGGCTAGGACTTTGATGGGTGGTAGATCTGAGCGCAATGAGTGGCTACTGCTTCATGCGTTCCATATGAAGGATTACATATGTCCAGATAAGGAGTTCAAGAAAAAACAGGCACCTGTGAGTTTTTTTTTTTAAATTGACTTTTTTACATAAATTTAATGTGGAAAAAATCTTAATTCACCATTCTTCTTGTATGCTTAAGCAAATTAGAAAAAAACCCAACCTTTTTAACATAAATTAAGCATGAAAAGCAATTAATTTGTAGTTAGTTACATGTACATCTAAGTCTAGTTAAAAAAAAAGTTGAAACATTATTTTTAACTGACAGGTGATTGTTGATGAAGACAATGAAGAGGACCAAGGGGCTTTAAAGAAGGCAGCAAATGGTAGAAGAAAACCAGCATATACTGGCGGTTTAGTGTTGGAACCTAAAAAAGGTCAGCAACTGTCACAACATTTATTAAACTGGCCAGATTTACTTTAGTTTATGATAGTGTTAATTCTTTTTGTTACACACTGGCTTAAATAATGCAGCTTGGATCATGATCAAAATCTTCTACTAGTGTAACAGCTTTTTGTATTTATTTTGCATTAATACACAATAGAAAATCAGGAAAAATAATAAAAAATTTGATGTTAAGATTTTTTTTATCATTTGTGCTGCGCCATTAAAAAAAGAACTTAGATTCAGCACATTCAGTTTGAATCTTGATTATATTTTATGGTGTTTTTAATTGTTAAATTGATTTATTACATATCTAAACTTTTTCGAACAGGATTCTATGACACTTACATTCTTTTGTTGGATTTCAACTCTCTGTACCCTTCAATTATACAAGAGTACAACATCTGTTTTACAACTATCTCCAGGACACCAGATTCTCCAGGCGAAAATGTAAGCCCAGTTTAATATTTATTCCGTAATCCTGTTACTAGTTAGACGTATTTGTATGAAGGACTTTTTTTATATCAATTATTAAGGCTAGTTAAACTTAAATTAATTTGAAACTTCTAAAGATGCTAAGTATCCTTCCAAATAAGAAACGCCATTAGTTAATTAGAAATTCTTGTAAAAAGACTTAATTCTCTATCATTCACATTTTTTTTCAACCAGATAGAAGATGACGAAACAAACCTAGTTCTTCCTGATCCAGACCTAGAACCAGGTGTACTACCCACAGAGATTAGGAAACTTGTTGAAAGCAGAAAACAGGTAGTTAAATTAAATTTATCTACGCCATGAAATAATTAATGCTTTTTGAATATAATTTACTATTTTTTTTATCTAGGCATCAAAACACTTATAATTCCTGTATGGCCTTTCTACCTCTTTCAACCATTACCATAAAACTATATAAAAAATTTTTTCTTAAATATCCATGTGTATTAAAAAATAAAAATAAAAATGCTTTAAAAATCAAAATCTTGGTATATTTGAGATTTTATTAGTACGTGTTAATGAATGTAAAATCTCTGGCTGATTACTGGGCATAGGACAGGAAAGGGTTAAATAAAAAAAAAACCTAACCGAAGCTAATATCACAAGTTGTTAATGATAGTTTTGTTCCTCAAAAACCTGAAACAATTTTGTGCTGGACTGGAAATAATTATTTTTACATTCTACTTTCTGCCTTGCTAAAAAGTGGTGCTTAAGTTGCTATATCAGTTCAGTATAGTAAAGTTCCCTTTCAACCCAGACTGTCTATGGGGCAATTTAAAGTAGATTTCACCTGTTTCTGTGACTTTGTCATATGAAGGGATAGTGTGAATCAGGTACCCATCAGAGATTTGAACTCAAGACTTTCGGGTTAGCAGTCGTATGCTCTACCATTCAACCAAGCTGTACTGTTGTCTAAAGTTTAATAAACCACCATGTACACTTATGTGCTTAATTTTTATATTAGGTGAAAACTTTGATGAAAGAACAGAACATTACATCAGAGCAGATGATGCAATATGACATCAGACAAAAGGCCTTGAAGTTGACAGCCAACTCCATGTATGGGTGTCTTGGGTTCTCATTCTCTCGGTTCTATGCTAAACCCCTTGCTGCCCTCGTCACTGGTAAAGGAAGAGAAGTAAGGATTTAAGCAAATTCATTTATAGTCATTTTATATGAAACTTGACATATTTATATAAAACTTGACATATTTATATAAAACTTGACATATTTATATAAAACTTGACATTTATATAAAATGTGACATTTATAAAATGTGACATTTATATAAGATGTGATATATTTACATAAAGCTTTACACATTTATATAAAACAAGTAACTCATGACAACTAATAATTTGCTATAAAATTATTATAATTTATCAAATGTTTGTTTTTGTTAAAATAAACTAAAATAAATAAGTAAAACAATATTATTTCCCATTTTTATACTCTTTTACACAATTTTTTCTTCCCTAACAGATTTTATTAAAAACAAAAGACCTGGTCCAAAGCGTAAGTTTGGAAAGACTTTTTAAAAATACAATGTTGTTTTGTGTATTTAAGCTAACATGATTTATTCTAATCTTTCTGTTCAACCTCCAATTTTTAAAATATAATTAATTTTTCTGAAACAGATGAATCTGGACGTCATATATGGAGATACAGACTCTATCATGATTAACACCAACATCACTAGCTCAGATAACACCACTATAAAGGAGGTTTACAAAATTGGCAACAAGGTGACTACTATGTTAATATTGTTGAATATTAGATAATAAAATGAATAGCAGCAAAATTTTAAAGTATTTTACTCCTACTGAATTTTATTTTAATGTTAAATTGTTTTCAATAAAAATTCCACTTATTATTGAAGATCAACTCATATCTATATCTCTAACCAACCAAGACTTATCTAATTTACTAAACATACTCCAATTTAATGAGTTTTATAAGTAATACTTAAAATTAGTAAACAGATTTATACATTTTTTTTATAATAAATTCATAACATTTTAGAAAATGCTAAGTCCTTAATTTGTTGATCATTACACTATTCATATTTTCTGTAATATATTTTTACAAGAACAAAGTAGTATTCATACATAAAATTTCTCTTCTCAGGTGAAAAATGAAGTGAACAAATTGTATCGGTTGCTGGAAATAGACATCGATGGAGTTTTCAAATCTATGCTGCTTTTAAAAAAGAAAAAATATGCTGCCCTCACTGTTACTGTTGAGGCAGACGGGAAAGAGAAACTGACGCAGGAAATGAAAGGGTTGGATATTGTTAGGAGAGATTGGTGTGACTTAGCTAAAGACGCTGGAACGTAAGTATATATATTTTTCTAATTAAACAAAATTCTTTTAAAAGTAAAATGTAGTTTATTTGTATTTTTTTTCAAACAATTTTGGCTTGACTTCTAAAGTCATTATTGACTTTTATGATGCCATCTTTTTTTTCTCCAGGTTTGTTGTTGCTCAGATATTATCTGGACAATCAAGGGAAACTATTGTGGACAATATTCATAACTACTTACAGACCACTGGTGAGAAGGTACGCAATGGGAAGCTGGAAACTCACCAGTACTACATCACAAAGGTAACTCTTACAAATGGTCTGGTTATGTTAATACATGCTTAACAGATGAGTTGTACTACATCACAAAGGTAACTCTTACAAATGGTCTGGTTATGTTAATACATGCTTAACAGATGAGTTGTACTACATCACAAAGGTAACTCTTACAAATGGTCTTGTTATGTTAATACATGCTTAACAGATTAGTTGCCATATGCTAAATTATTTTTAAAAAAGTTCCTTTTTAATTAGGTACATAGGGCAGGTGAAGTAAAGTCCACCTCCTGTTTCAGTGTGCACTGCATATGAAGGTATAGTGTGGTCAGTACTATGCCCAGCCATGTTTACTTTCCATAATTAGTCAGGTACCCAACAAAGCACGGTGGACTTAGTTGTTTGGACTCCAGCCTGGGAACCGAACTCTGTATTAGTTGGTTGTGACATGTCAGATATTTACCAGGATATAACTTTTTAGTGTCAACTGCATCCTTATTTGATGACTATTCCTAACTGTTTGATTTCTTTCTTGGTTTAGCAATGGAGGCTATTAGTCCGATAAAAGTAGATTTTCTTCGGCAAGATGTTAATTTTTAAAAATTAATTTATATCTGTTTTTTTCCCTGTTTTTTGTAGCAATTGACGAAGAATCCAGAAGATTACCCTGACAAAAAAAGTCTTCCACATGTACAAGTTGCTCTGAGATACAACACCAAGAGTGCCAAGCAATTGAGGCAGGGTGATACAGTACCGTATGTTATTTGTGAGGTGAGAACTTGTGCCAAAGTAATTTTGTTGTTAGAACTTGTACCATAGTATTCTTTATGTAGGAACTTGGCGTAACATTTTAGTGTCAACTACATCCTTATTTGATGGCTATTCTGTTTATGATTTCTTGATCAGGATGGTTCTACATTGTCTGCAACACAACGAGCCTACCATCCTGAAGAATTAGCCAAGCAGGAAAACTTAAAACTTGGTAATTAATTTGTTTTTAACACGTTTTTCTTAACTCAGCTTCGCGTTTGTTTGTTTGTTTGTTGTTAAAATTGACATCGAAAATTAGCCCACTTCTGATTGCTCTAGAGACCTGAAATTTGGCATGCATGCTACTTTCGCCTAACAATTTCAGATGCAATCATAAAAACTAGCAATTAGTGACCGTAATTAGCTTAATTTAATTACGCCCCAAGGACCATAAAATTGAGGACATGATTTCTAAAGATACCGACAAGACTTGAGGCCTATTGACACAGTTACTTCGGCCCCAATCGATGTGAGCGCGCTGGCCGTGATCGTATAGTGGTTAGTACTTCGCGTTGTGGCCGCGACAACCCAGGTTCGAATCCTGGTCGCTCAAGATTTTTTTAGTCCGTGTATTTATAAACACTTTTTTAAAAACCACGTTTTTCATGTGTAGCAACGGACTAAAAAGGAGAAAATAAAATACTTAAAAAAAACTTTTTAAAAAACCACGTTTTTTATGTGTAGCAACGGACTAAAAAGGAGAACGGACACGGTAACACATTGTTAACGGTGACACGGTTGGTACGCTGGGCATGCTAAAATACACATAAACACGTTTTTCCTTAACTCAGCTTCGCGTTTATTTGTTTGTTTATGGGAGATTTGATCACGTGATTCGTGAGTAGATCTCCACGCCAGCAACGTAAATTACACCCTTTCTCTGTTTAAAGCGTATCGGTCGCTCAAGATTTTTTTAGTCCGTGTATTTAAAAACACTTAGTCAAGTCATACTTAATCAAGTGATTAGATAAAGTAGAAAATAAACTATATAAAAAACTTTTTAAAAACCACGTTTTTCATGTGTAGCAACGGACTAAAAAGGAGAAAATAAAATACTTAAAAAAAAACTTTTTAAAAAACCACGTTTTTCTTGTGGACTAAAAAGTAGAAAATAACTATTTACATACATTTGATGACAAAAAACGTGGGTCGGGAAATTTGATGGTGAACGTACCCACGTTTTTTGTCATCAAATGTATGTAAATAGTTATTTTCTACTTTTTAGTCCACAAGAAAAACGTGGTTTTTTAAAAAGTTTTTTTTTTAAGTATTTTATTTCTTCATATCATTAGTTATATTACTATAACAGGTTTTCATTAATTTGTCAAATCTGGTTTGTGTACATTCTGGTTGCATTTTTCAGACACTAAGTATTATCTGGCACATCAGATTCATCCAGTAATTGCCAGATTGTGTGATCCTATTGAAGGAACTGACTCGGCTCGCATTGCAGAATGCCTTGGTAATTATTTTTAAATGTTTTTTGTCAAAAACCCCATTAAATACTAGGGTAATCTATTTGAATTATTTGTTTTACTACACAACAATGGTCAACAAACAAGTTAATTTTTAATTTGCGAAATAATGGTTTCCATTTCCTGTTATAAAATTTTGTTTTACTGAAATATCTAGAACTTGTTTATCATTTTCTTTTACCAGGTTTAGATCCATCTGGCTACCGTCACACCAGTCGACAAGAGGAAGTGGAAGTTGAGGATATGGTCACAATACAACTGACCACAGAGGAAAGATTTCGTGACTGCGACCGCTTAGTTTTTCCTTGCCCTTCTCCCAAGTGTGGGCGGCTAGTTACTATAGACTCTGTATTTGTTGGAAGTGTAAGCATAGTTTTGTTTATCAGTTATAAAGTTTAACTCGAAAAATAATCAGTATTTGGCTAAGCTGTATCTTTTTACTCGTAGGATTCAAGTATTGCTCCATCCTTGTGGGCTTGTCCAAACCCTGAGTGCAAAACACAATTATGGAAGTCGAAGGTTCAGCTAATGAACCTACTTCACCGTAAAATACAACAACACGTCAACAAATACTATCAGGTTAGTAATTGATTTTCACTTTGTAGAGTGATGAGTAATTTTTTTGTAAATACAATGTGCTATCACCTAATGACTAATATTTAATTCTGGCAGATTAACTCAATTTGATTGTAGGGTTTGTTGATTAACTAAATAATTTAGATTGTAGGGCTGGTTGATAAACTGAATAATTTTGATTGTAGGGCTGGTTGATTACTTAAATAACTTTGATTGTAGGGCTGGTTGATAAACTGAATAATTTTGATTGTAGGGCTGGATGATTAGCTGAAAAATTTTGATTGTAGGGCTGGTTGATTACTTAAAACTTTGGTTAATTAACTAAATAACTTTGATTGTAGGGCTGGTTGATTACTTAAAACTTTGGTTAATTAACTAAATAACTTTGATTGTAGGGCTGGTTGATTAACTAAATAACTTTGATTGTAGGGCTGGTTGATTACTTAAAACTTTGGTTAATTAACTAAATAACTGATTGTAGGGCTGGTTAATTAACTAAATAACTTTGATTGTAGGGCTGGCTGAAGTGTGAAGATACTGGCTGTGGAGCAAGGACCAACAAACTACCTTTGATTATGCACCAAAACCACCCAGTGTGTCCTGTGTGTGACAGGGGTTACCTTCACGTTGAGGTGAGCACCTACTACTTCTTCTTCTTCGTTCTTAATTTTTAGTGTTGGGAGGGATCGAGCCTTAGCTGCCAGAGGGTTTGAACTCGAGACTTTTTTTGAATTTATCAACCATGAGCTTTGCCGACTCGACCATGCTTCCATCACAATTAAGGATTACGTGTCAACTGGTTATGCGCCATTGAGGCCATTGACTCTGATTTCAGCCTGCTTTTCTTTATGGATTTGCTTCCATAGCCTTTGTCCAACCAAGAACAAACTACAAGGCAGCAGTTGTTTGATTTTGGTGTTGTCTCTCCTAGAAGAGTGGCTGTCCCCAGCTAACGAGCCTCATCTGCCAGAGGGTTCGAACTCAAGACTTTTCGGTTTAGCAACCATGAGCTTTACCGACTCAACCACGCCGACCCCTGCACCTACTACTCAAATTCCAGTTTTTAAAATTGAGAGCTTAACTTCAGCCTTAATAAAAATGGCTTCAGATCTATCAATCTAATTGTATCAAAATTACAAGTTTCAGTGGTCACATTTTAATTTCAAGTAAAATAAAATAATTTTTTTTTAATAAAATGTAGAAAAATTGGAAAGAAGAAAGCATGCTAAAAGTTGAATTATTTTAATAGCTTTTGATGGTCCATGGGGCAAGTTAAGTAGGATTTATATTTCTGCGACCTGCATTTAAAGGGAAAAGTGTGGTCAGCACTATGTTCATCACTATGTGTAACGTGAGTTAGATACACATCAAAGGTGTATGGACTCTGCGCTGTATGGTTTTGTAATGGATTAGAACTAGAGACTTAAAACTTAGCAGTCATATGCACTACTATTCAACTACGTCATCCCATGTAACGTAATTAAAGTTAGGACTAGTACCATTTTAAAATATCTTTTCAAGCCCATCTAACCTGTAAATTTTTCTACTTGATCCACAGTATACAGACTCGGCCCTCTATAATCAGCTTTGTTTCTATGATTACATTTTTGATATCCCCAAAGCCATGACATTCTTAAATGAGGGAGAAAAACGTAAGGTTACTTTGCACTTTTTAGACGTTAACTTATTTAATCCAATCTTTTAAATTAGTGAAAAAAAGTATCTGTTTTAAAATATTTTTAAAACGTTTAACTCCTTAGCCATGTTAGATGTTACAAACATGGAATATAGATCTGTATTTACCTTTTGGTATACATACATTTATCTTCCTTCTATTAGTACTGACTGAGCAACAAATTATGAGTTGTTTTTTTCTGTTAGTGCTTGTATTAGGAGAAAGTAGCGATACTAGGGGGAAAAAACAAAATTCAATACATATTGCTTGTTTTTCTAAGCACTTAATATACTAGCTATTAAACTCATTATGATGAGTTTGCCAATAATTGTGGCGGAAATAGCTGAATTCACTCTGTATGCTAAGATGTGTGGGTATGAGGCAACGTTAATTTGCCTAGCAATAACGTAACATATTTTTTTAATTGATTTTTCCAAATATTGTAGAATTATTTTTCCTTTTTTCAGTTGCTGCTCGTAGATTTCCTTCTGAGCTGATTGAAGTGTATAGAGAGATAAAGATAAAAACTTCACGTTGGTTGGATATGAGTGATTATTGCAATGTTGATCTCGGTAAACTATTTCAAGGTCTCGGGCTGGCCAAAGTAAAAATGGAAGCTGAAATTTAAACCAAGTTACCATCAAGGATATTTTTGATTTTTAACTCTGATTTTTACTTTTTTGGGCATCTTTTTTCTGAATAACATTATTTTTTATCTCATTCCAATATATATTAATTAAATTTTTATTTGCCCATTTAAAATGTTTAAAATGTATATTTTGTTGCAAAATTTTCAATTTTCTTTTGATATGTTTTGTGTAGTTATAATGAATACACTCATACAGTATAAAAAAAATAATTTTTAAAGAAAATTGTGATACTATGTTTCATATTTAAATGGCTTGCTTGTAATTAGTCCTGAGAGATAAAAAAAATTAAGCATTTTTAGTTTTGCCAATATATTTTTAATTAAGTTTAACCATTTACATGTAATAGTTTCTTAAGATTTTTACCATTTGCATGTTGCGTTGTTCTGTGATCACCATAGGAGTGTCAGTGACTGAATCAGCTGTTGAAAATTGTAATCAATGCTTTGTTTATAATGTATATTTATGGTCAAAGTTAATAAAATAAAATATTTAACTTATAATTTGTTCTTTAGTGTGTGCGTTTTTGAAAAGTGGATTCCTCCACTAATACTAAAAGCCAGTTTTATTGCTCTTTAGATATATCAACCTTAATCCCTTATTTATCACCCAAATAACCAACCCCCCCCCCCCCCCCCCCCCCATCAGGAACTTCTCTCCAAAAGACTTATAGCTGATCTTTTTTCCAGGCCAAATTTACCTGAGTATAGTGCTTTTGTAGTTTGTTTTTTAACCCCTGTTCATTTTACACTAAGCAAGTACCACCACACCTACTTTATCCAAGCCTAGGCTAATTATTGGTTCTGAAAAACTGGGTGGAGTTGTCAGTCCCAATGATTACTAAGTATCTCATACAATTGTCATAAATCTATGAATTCTGAACCTCCTTTTTTGAGTTGCTCTGTACTGCAGGGTTTGAACTGCTTTGCTATACATGTGTGAAAGAGTAAAGAGTTTAACTACACTATCCCAAAAGAAGTGGCCTAATGAAAGGGCTACAGGCTAGAAACAAGATTCTGTAACAAGTGCTCTTTTTACCCTTCCAAAGCTTATATTGATTCCTCCACAACCACACAAGAAACTCAAGACTCCCCAAATGTCACTCTTTTTTTTGTACAATAGGCCTATGAGAAATTGGCTCCTTATAATACTTGGTTCTAGATCTGTTTCGTATTGATTGGAAATTTAAATTTAATAAAAATTTGTTATTAATAAAGAACCGAAAAATGAAAAAAAAAGTCTGTAAGTAAAGAAACTCGATAATAATAGTAAGCGCTAGGCCACTACAATCGATAAAATTATATTAGCCTCTAAAATGGCTAACAAGCGAAACGTGAATCAAAACAATGCTAGGAACACCAAAAAATCAAACGTAGTTACATCCGAAAGGTGACTTGTAAATTCATTCTTAATCGTAGGCCATACAATATCATCGAGAATTAGATCTAACACATAGGGGTTTTAGGCAAGAAGGGGTGAATTGGGGCGGGTGAAGTGGTGGTATGAGAATGAGTGTCACTAAAATTTTTGGGAAAAATGTATTATTTAGGTTTAATTATGGATTTTTTAAAATAAAATATTCTGTTATTTCAAATACACCATTAAGTTCCTTACCCCTTAAGAGAACATTTGACACCACATTTAAATATCTAGCTTAATCGGTTGACGAGAAAAGAGAGAATTTAAAATTTTTCCGAGAATGGAAAATGAAAGTCAGAACATCGTTTTTGCTCCTCGACCGGCATAACATGACGTCGTGGACTTGTGTGCACGAGCTTTTAATTCCCGCCATGGTAATTGCGTCAGCTTAGGTTATTTGCTCACCGGAAAATAACAAAAAGCAACTGGTTGATAATAAAACTAGATCTAGAGAAATCTAGTTATTTTATTATTTATTAAATTCTACTCTACATGTTATTCATACCATTTTATGAAGTAATGAACACCTGCATAAATCAAATGACCATAATAAATATTTTTATTTCAAATTCTAATTTTAAATAATATGCATAAAATAATATGATAGTAATAATTAAGAGGTAAGATAGTTTATAAATACAAATACATTTTACACTCAATCACATTATATTGAGTCAACAGTATGGCAGCTGAGGTTCATACATGAGTATTAGTGTCTTTTTTTTTTTTTACATTACATTTTTTTTTTCATCTTGAAAACATGACGTATGTAATTTTTTTTTTTAAATAAAATCTCCAAACATCGTCACTCGCGTGATTGCTTGCTTATGTTTACTATCCTGTGGATGAAAAATCCCACCACGGTCGCGGGGTCACCGTGACTTCAGCAGGCCTATAGTACACGTCATAGAATGAACACGCGTACACGAGATGGTCGGTGTCTTCACTTCTCTCTCTCTTCCGACCCCCCCCCCCCCCCCACCCTTCTTCAAGCTAATTGAAAAACAGACCTATTTCCCTTCTGGTCATTTTTTTTTTTTAAAGCTCGGTCATTTTTTTAAAGTTCGCATATCAGCCAGCTGTATAAAAAAAAAATATTTTTTTTAACTAGATCTACGTCTAGCTTTAAAAAATAAATAAATAAACGCTTAAAATGCCCGTAAACAGATTATTTAGCGCCAAAAAAAAAAAGGCCGCTGAACGAGCATTTTTTAAAATACGCAGCAATGAAAAAGGCTAACGGCCAATCAATTAAGTCTAAAAATCGCCCGTAATTAGGCCTAGCGCTGAAAAATGCCACTGAACGAGCATCACTGATTATATAAACGAATAGGCCACGCGGCGTTGACGAGGTTAACAACCGGTCACGAATGCAGCAACGGTCGGCCCACAGTGAAGAAAAAATCAATATACTAATAAAATTACTAATACAATAATAATGTCCATAATTTTACTTTTTCCGCACATGCTACAATTGAATAATATTTAATAATAATTAAAATACTAGACTTAACAGTTCATTCCGTAAAAAACAAAAACTAGTTGTTTCAGTCTGGCAACTAGCGTAACAATGACGTCATGATACTAAAAATAGCGGATAGAAATGTCAGCGTGGGTACCTCATTTTGGAATTAGATTTTGGAAAGTAGAATCGATAATACTGTAAATATACATGGTAATTATCTCAATTATATATTAATTTAGTGTTATCAGAGCCGTTTTCCCCGTTATTGGGTCGTTTTTGGCCGCGGTTCAGTTTTTACGGAGAGTGCTCCACTAGAAATCCTCTCATTATTTACAAACACAATTCTCGCGATTTTTTCTGGCATTCTAAGTCATATTATCCATTTTATTAGCATTTTGTGTTAAAATAATGATGAGAATTGGCGAGATAAACAGTTCTTTAATTTGTCGTGGATAGGACCCCTAAAATAAACGTAGAAACCGTCAGAAAACGACGCGTGACGTTTCAGGGTCAGAGGTCAATCCAGCCATCTAAGTGACGAACCGGCCTAGTATTATTATTTATTATTTATTCATTTAATGTACCGGTAGATTCTAGCATTAATTTAGAGAAAACCTGTGCTTGAGGATTTCATAATATAAGCCATCAACCAATTAAATGCGATCATTTAGTCACATTAGTGTTTTTGGAGCTTTAAAGTATAAAAATTAAAATGGCAGAAAACGCCAATCTTTTTCTCTGTGTAGTTTGGTTTTTTTCATGTTTTGAAAATGGGCCTTAACTTAAAATGACCAGTGAAAAGAGTTTTTTTTGGACTGTTTTGTCACATTTGTGACATGTTTGAATGTAAACAGTGGTTGTCAAGGCATGAATGCACCCAATTGACAATTGCAGTCTCCATGAGTGGTTTTAATACATCCTGATAGGAAAAATAGATTGGCTTAATGGTAATCTGGATAGGTGCACGGAAAATTGGATTGGCTTAATGGCAGCCTGGTTAGGTTCAAGGAAAATTTGTTTGGTGTAATCCAACCAAATTGTTTCTTTTAAAATCTCCAGAAGTGTGCCATCTGCGGCAAACCACACAGACCCCTCTGTGTTTAACAACGAGCCATGGACGCCATCACCTGGGACAGCTTTCAAGCTTCTCATGTCAGCCAGATTGTGTGCGGCCCTGTGGAGTGTGGTGTCGGACTGTGATGAAACATACAACTACTGGGAGCCTGTAGGTCTAACATAAGCTTTCTTAAACAAACTAGTTGAGACCTACCTTAGTGACTGTCTTGTTTGACTGTGATGAAACATACAACTACTGGGAGCCTGTAGGTCTAACATAAGCTTTCTTAAACAAACTAGTTGAATGGTACCCCTTGTTACTGTCATCTATTGGGAGCTTGTAGGTTTTTCTGAAAGTCTGTTTAAAATTAGTTGAATGCTATCCTAGCGACTTCAGGACTTCCCTGATACTAACCAGCTCTGATGGTTACCTGACCCACTTTAGGGAAAGTAAAGGTATCTGGGCATAGTGCTGACCACACTATCCCTTCCCATGCAGACGTCAAGACACATAAACTCTACTTCATCTATGCTATGGATCATTAGGTCAGAAAGGGGATCGTTTACCCTAACGTGACTAAAGGAAACTAATATATAAAAAATATAAAGTTTGCGTAACTTAAAATTATGAACCAGTTATTTGTTTGAAATGTCAATTACGAATTAAGCTAGTATCTTTAGGCCTGATGGTGGCTTTAGGTAGATATGACTTCTTTGACCTCAGCCCTCAAGGAGACCTTTACTTTTCGAAGCACCTGTTACAGGAGATGCAGGTTTAGTACAAGCACTTAAGACCAGATGATAAAAATGAAAGGGCTAGCAATCATGTGTTCTGTTTAATACCCAACCATGCCATCCTTAATTGAAATTCCTTTAACAGTGATTCTTTCACGCTACATGATTGGTGGCTGTTTGGTGTTTATAAGAATAACTTAATAAAAAAACCTTTGTACATTATAAAACTAAACCAACTCAAAGTATGGTTTTGATTTATTACGATGCATTGGTGTAAAGCCTACCTCAGCAATACTAAAGCTCTCACATCATTCAGTATTTTAATCTTATCAGGGTCTTCAGTGAGAAATGTTTTGGCGTTCTCTAATCGCTCCATAATTATAACAATAACTACTGTATATTTTACAGACAAGTTGAAATATTATGTGATGTGTAACATAAAATATTGTTTCATGCTCTGTAGGCTCATTTTCTGAACTATGGCAGGGGTTTCCAAACATGGGAATATTCCCCAGCTTACGCCATCCGCTCTTACGCATATATACTCCTTCATGTCCTGCCAATGAAGTTATGTGCTGCCTTTTTGGGTGATAACACAGTAAGTTGATACTAGCTCACATGTGAATATCTTAGTCCATATTTCATATTATGTGCAAGTAAAAAGAGAAGAATTAGAAGCTTACAAGAAAAATAATTTTTATTTCATGCAGAGAATTTGATCTGCTTTTTTTTTAAAAACCTCTTTTTGTGTTAATTCAAAAAAAAAAAGTTAAAATATAATTTAAAAACATTTCTGTATATTAGATTGCTTTTAGCTTTGTCTTACAAAGTAAGCCTATACATCCTTGATCATTATAATTTTCAATGTTTTCAGATCCTAGTGTTTTACATGACCAGATGCATGCTGGGAGTTTGCTGTGCCATCTCTGAGATGTTGTTTTACAGGTGAGTTTCATCTTTTGTGATTGAAGTAGATGTATGAGCTATTAAACCCACAAATGTCCATGTTTTAACCTGTCCCTCTAAAAAACCTGGCCACACTAAGGTCAAACTTTAAAAACCTGGTCACTCACATTAAAAAATCTGGCCACACAAATGTTCCTTTAAAATACCTTCGCCTGCAAAAGTCTTGCTTAAAAAACCTGGCCAAACAAATGCCTCTTTACAAATGATAGTCACCCAAATTGTTAACATAAATCTTAATAGAATTTTTTATAGTGAGTTAATGTAAAATGTATGGTTAGAAAAAATGTTCTGCCATTAGCAAAATCAGTTTAATGTATATTTAGATATATCTCTTATTTTATGAACCTAATTATTAACTAGACTAAGACTGAACCCAAAATGTTGTGTAACTTTAAATGAATGTGTCATGAATGTCTTACAGAGGAGTGTGTAAGATGTTTGGTCCAAATGTTGGACGGCTGACCCTCATCCTACTGCTGTTCTCTGCTGGAATGTTTGCGTCTGCTTCAGCTTTTCTCCCTAGCAGTTTCTCCATGTACCTAACTATGGTGGCTTATGGTAGCTGGTTTGTTGGTGATGTTCATGTGAGTTGGTTGTTGTAGGGGTTGATGTGGTGGTTGTGGTGTGTGGTCAGTGGTGTGTTGGTGATGTTCATGTGAGTTGGTTGTTGTAGAGCACGGGTTCCCAACCTGGGGGTCGCGACCCCCAGGAGGGTCGCGAAGGTCTTTCTGGGGGGTCGCCAACTGGTATACTAAACCTTAGTAATTTGAAACAAAACATAAATATTTAGAAGAATTTTTGAAATTCGGCTTCATTAACATCACTGGAAATGTAATAGAGAAGAAACAAAGCGCACTGTACAAAGTTGTTGTCAGTCACGAATCTATGAAATCTTCAAAACTAAAACGTCATTTGAGGTAATTCGGAACACACCAAAAAATATATGTAGCTCTTTCGTCGGTAAGAAGCTAGTTGCAAATGTTAGAGACTTGATCGAACAGGAAATTTTCACCAGCATTAGTGCAAGCATCAAATGAAGTCGGGATAGAAAATGCCAAGCAAAATAAAAAAAAACAATAGGAGAAAATCTCATCAAACGCTGCATGTACGTAAATGTTAAATAACACATTTTTATTGAAATTAAGCTTTCACCATTGTTTGCTTTTCAAGTTGATAAATCAACAAACGTGATTTCGTGTTCGCAGTTGCTGGTCTGTGTCTATATTCATGCGGATGATAGCAAAGAAGAGTTGCTCTTTTATGAAGATAGCATGGAGAAAATAAATACCTTTTTTGAAACTGGATGATTAAAATGGGTTAGAACGGCTGTGGGGGTTTGTACGGATGGTGCGCCATCTATGTTTAGCTTAAAATCGGGCTTTCAGCAAACAGAAATGATTTAGCTCCCTTACCACTGCCCTAACCAATCGACATCAAGAGTCCATTGCTAGTGTAAGTTGTAAACTATATAAAATCTGGAGCCTTTAAAGAACTGAGCAAAAACATTAATATAGATCACGAGGTTCTGCTCTTCTATACTACAGTATGCTGGCTGTCAAACGAAATGTTGTGAATTGTGTTTTTGAATTGAAATCTGAAATCAAATTGTTCTTGGAAGTGCAAAGGAAACAAGACTTTTTGGTATACTTAAAACGACATATAGTGGTTGGAGAGAGTATCATAACTAGCAGATGTGTTCAAACATCAGGATAAGCTTTTAACCTGAAGCTTCAGGGAAAATGAACGAATATTATAACTTTCCATGATAATCTCGGGGCATTTTTATCAAAGCTGCAAAATCGGTAAACAAAATAAATCTTGGAAACATTGTAAATTTGAGAAACTCTGCAGTGTGGTAGATGAATCTGACTGTGAGATAATTAAAATTTTGAAAGAAGCGATTTCTGGGCATCTTGAATCTCTTGAAAACGAACTGCATCGCTATTTCTCTGAGCTGAAAAAAGAAGAATCTGCATTTACGCATTACCCATTCTCTTCTTCCCTTGATGTTGCCAGCATTACCGATGAATTACAAGATGAATTCTTTGATTTGCAGAATGATTCCGAGTAAAATGAAAAACTGCAGATACAATTTTAGTTTAGTATTCACCATTCATACCCAAACTAAAATTGATTGACTTTTCGAGAATATATTTTCAACGCTATTCTTCAATTAAAAACAAAATGAAGATAATTATAATGACATATGTTGGCGTTAACAAAAATTTTTTTACATTTACACGAAGGTTTAGTGAATAGTATGCAATTTTACTCATGCTATTAAAAAGTTATCAAGAGTAGTTCATATTGAAAGTCTACTAGAAAATCTTATTTTAGTGCTTATTAATTTCCATACTAATTTCGGCTTTTTTAATTCTATGGGGGTCGCGTGTCACTTACTTTTTATAAAAGGGGGTCGCCACTCGAAAAACGTTGGGAACCACTGTTGTAGAGACTAAAGTTGTGGTGTGTGGATGGTTGCTTATGGTAGCTGGTTTGTTGGGGATGTTCATGTGAGTTGGTTGTTGTAGGGGTTAATGTGGTGATGGTGGTGTGTGGTCGGTGGTAGGTGGTGTTGGTGATGTACATGTGAGTAGGTTGTTGTAGGGGTTGATTTGGTGGTTGTGGTGTGTGGTAGCTAGTGTGTTAGTGATGTTCATGGGAGTAGGTTGTTGTAGAAGTCAATGTAGTGGTGGATGGTGTGTGGTAGCTGGTGTGTGGTAGGTGGTGTGTTGGTGATATATGTGTGAGTTGGCTGTTGTAGGGGTTAATGTATTGGTGTGTGGTAGGTGTTGTGTTGGTGATGTACATGTGAGTAGGTTATTGTAGGGTTTAATGTGGTATGGTATGGCAGCTTTTTCATGAGTTAAAATTAATTGAGTTAGGAATGTCATGCTTTCTTTTTTATTTGTAAATGCAAAATTTACAGCATATTTTAAAAGTATGATTATCAAAATTTCAATTTTATTTATCTGAGAAATATAATAGAAATTTTGCTTTAGTTGGATAAAATAAAACATTTGATCCATTTTTACTTTTATTGATTAATTTGAAATGAAAAATTCTAGATAATCCTACGGTTAAAACGTCAAATTGCTAAAATTTAAAAATAGCCCATTCTTTTGAATTCTGTTATGAGTTTATATGCGCTTAAAAAGTATGTAATGTTTTTCAGATTAGTATAATGTCTATAGCCGCAAGTGCAATAATTGGTTGGCCATTTGCTGGTGCACTAGGGTGAGTAACATTCTACATCAATTTTTTATTTCTTTTTTTTTAGAAAGTTGTTTCCTCTTGTTAATGTTTACATTTCTTAAAAAAAAGTTTTTTTTACAAATTTCCTTCTCAGCATCCCTATAGCCTTTGATGCCCTTATAATACACAAAAGATATGTCAACTTCTTCAAGTGGTGTGGCATTTCTTTGATTGTTTTTATGGTGAGTTAACTATCTTACAAAGCTTTTTCAACACGAAACTATTTTTAACTGTTTGAAATAATGTCTCTTTAGACCAATGAAGAATTCTTCAAGTTGTTAAAACTTTTTTGATCTATTTGTTTGAAAATTTAAACAGTAAAATATACCAGACTTACAAAATGTGATTCAATTAGTTAGAATTTTAATAACTGTTACGCTCCCAGAAAATTCTCAAATGCAAACTTTATTTCGGTCTTATTTTGTTTTATTATTTTACATGTGATCATTACATCAATAAAAAAAAAATAAAAAAAAAAACCTCTTTATCGCATTGTTTTATGTGCAATTTTTTTGTCCTGCTAATTTCATTAGCATATTATTTTGTCACCTAGCTTTAAATCTTATTATAAATTTTAAATACCAATTCATAAAGCTTGATTTTTATTTTTTTTGCTCATCAATGAAATAAATAAAAATTTCATTTTTTCATTTCCAGGTCCCAATGGTTTTAATTGACATGCATTTCTATGGGAAGTTAGTGATAGCACCGTTAAATATTGTTTTATACAATGTTATAAGTGGACATGGCCCAGAACTCTATGGTAACTTTCTTTAGCCTAACATATCAACATTTAAATATAGAAAGTGATACATATGGTGACTTTAGCCTAACATCAATATTTAAATATAGAAAGTTATACATATGGTGACTTTAGCCTAACATCAATATTTAAATATAGAAAGTTATACATATGGTGACTTTAGCCTAACATATCAACATTTAAATATAGAAAGTTATACATATGGTGACTTTAGCCTAACATATCAACATTTAAATATAGAAAGTTATACATATGGTGACTATAGCTAACATCAATATCTAAATATAAAAAGCTTAATTTATTGTAACTTCAGCCTACCTAATCCTTTAGCATTACAATATTTAAAATATTACAAGTGAACCATAGAAATATAATTAGTAAGTAAAAATAAAACATTGACTTTAAAAAAAAAAAATTTAAACTGTGTAGTCAAATGTTTTAAAGATGATACGTTTCTAGAAGTAATTCATCAATCACAGAAGTCTTAGAAAAATCATGCATGGTTAAATAAATGTTAACGAATTTGATGAAATGTTGATGCTTTAGTCAGGAATGTATAAATAATATCATAAATCAACGTATCAAAATAATTAAATAAAATTGTATTTCTTCAGGTGTTGAGCCTCTATCATACTATATCATCAATGGCTTCTTGAACTTTAACCTTGCATATTTTATGGCCCTGGGATCACTACCATTTCTGGTAAAATTTTTTACTTTTCGTAGTTTGTATATCAGGTATTACAAAAATAATAATCTAGTATCACACTCATCAATGGCTGTGTGGATTTTTTAAAAAAAAATGTGCTAATTATGGCTTAATTTTCTAGTGTTCGGTAGTATAGATTTTTAAATATATTTGTTCATGCAAACCATCTGTTGACTTGCAGTTGCTGACTTTATGGTTCCTTAAACCAGAATCTTATTCAAGTAAGTAAAACACAAATTTAACAAAATACTTCAAAGTATCATGTCCTAGAAGGTTTTAGCTTTATTTTTATTTGATTTTCTTTTCTAATATTGTAAAGATGACAGTGCACCATATCCACCAAGAATGATTTCACATGTTTTAGTTTTTGTTATTTTTACTCAATTTTTAATAAAGCAAAGTTGATTATTAAGAAAAATGTAAAACAGAGTTGTATGATTTTTAGTGACTCTGACTTTTAGATCAAGACTGTTACCAGGAAACAAGATAGACCTGTTAGAAAAAAACCACCCATGCTTTTGTCCACAGAACAATCCCTGTTGCTTGCCCTCTCCCCACTCTACATCTGGGTCCTGATCTTCTTTACACGGCCACACAAAGTAGGTCTGCACGTTTAGTGTCATAGTTCTAAACAAAATACACCATTGTATTATAGAGCCACACAAAGTAGGTCTGCCATTTTAGTGTTATTGTTCTAGACAAAATACACCATTGTATTATAGAGCTACACAAAGTCGGTCTGCCATTTTAGTGTCTAGCTGTTAACAAAATACACTGTTAGATTATACAGAAACACAACAGTTGTTGCAAAGAAATTCAGTGTTTAAAACTGAATTTTTTTGGGTTGCAATTTTAAAAAATTTCTAGCTTTTTCTATACATGAACTACATTTATTTCTGCTAAAAAGTTATTTTGTTAAATTTTGGGCATAAGTCTATAGGAAGCCCCTGACTTATTCCAGCTCTGATGGGTATCTGACATGTTAGGGAAAGTAAAGATGGCTCGGTGCAGAAATCACCTCCCTTTTCCTTTATATGCTGAGGTCACAGAACAGATAAAATCTACTTCATTAGCAGATCATAATTATTTAAAATTATGCTTGTTTTATTTTAAAACTAGCTCTATCTTTTGATGAACAGAATATTTACAGTACCAAACCTTACATCTAAACAGCCAGTTTGGTTTATTGTTATTTTAAAGCTCATCCCCAGCTTGATGTAACTTTTTTGTCTCCAGGAAGAAAGATTTCTTTTCCCCATCTACCCATTTATTGCCATGGGTTCAGCTTTAGTACTGGACACTGTGCAGGTAATATTTGCTTTCTCTGGGCATTTTTTTCTTATAGGTTTAAGGTGTACTTGAGAATATTTTACATTTTTAAACAAGTTGACTGTTGTTATAGTTTTAATAAATAGGCTATGAATATGACTAGAAGATGTAGACTTTATATTCTTTATTATTTTCAAAACACAGTGACACTAAAAAAAAAAAAATTCATTAGGTCGAGGTTTAGATACTTTTTTTTTAAAAAAGCGTAACATTTCTCTCTATTAAAACAATAAAAAAAAAGTTTGACTATGACAAGTTCACGTTAGTTTTAGAAAATGGCGAAAACTGTGATTTAAAAAATTGCAATCACATACTGGTAATTCAATAAGAACATTTTTTATTAAGATCTAGTTAAGCGAGGCAAATATTAGGTGCTAACTTACTCCATGATTTAAACGAAAGATATATTTGTCTAGAGACTACTGGATCTCCTGCTACATGGTGTGAACAGACACATCCACTACACAGACAGGACCAACTGGGTAACAGCTGGCTTCTCATTCCTGTTTGCTGTTCTCTCCTTCTCTAGGATAGTAGCTGTGTATCAGGGTGAGTATTTAAACTAATGGGACAGCATTCATTCCTGTTTGCTGTTCTCTCCTTCTCTAGGATAGTGGCTGTGTATCAGGGTGAGTAACTTATGGGACAGCAGTCATTCCTGTTTGCTGTGCTATTAGAAATTTATATGCCATAAACCATGCTAGAGATTTCAATGCCAACTGTCCTATCCAATTTTTTTTGTAAAAAGGCAGACTGAACCTAAGGCCGACAAACTATAACTTTTGTCTGTGTCTGCCTTTTGTCTTGTCGGCCTTTTGGATGTCTGCCAATATCCCAATTTTCCTTGCACCTACCCATGTTACCATTTAACCAATTCAATTTTCCCACCACCCACCCATGTTACCATTTAACCAATTCAATTTTCCCACCACCCACCCATGTTACCATTTAACCAATTCAATTTTCCCACCACCCACCCATGTTACCATTTAACCAATCCAATTTTCCCTCCACCCACCCATGTTACCATTTAACCAATTCAATTTTCCCACCACCCACCCATGTTACCATTTAACCAATCCAATTTTCCCACCACCCACCCAGGTTACCATTTAACCAATCCAATTTTCCCACCACCCACCCAGGTTACCATTTAACCAATCCAATTTTCCCACCACCCACCCAGGTTACCATTTAACCAATCCAATTTTCCCACCACCCACCCAGGTTACCATTTAACCAATCCAATTTTCCCTGCACCCACCCAGGTTACCACGCACCACTAGACATTTATGTTGAGCTCCACAGGGTGGCGGCAGACCCCAAAATCCACACCCTGGCGCCAGATAAAACAGTGAATGTGTGTGTGGGGAAGGAATGGTACAGGTTCCCAAGTTCTTACTTCCTGCCAGGACCAAAGTGAGTTTTTTTCTTCTCTCTGTTGTCTTGACAAGTGTTGGTTGTTGTCTTGACAAGTCTGGGCTGTTGTCTTGACAAGTCTGGGCTGTTTTTAGTTGACTAGTCGTAACATCCTTTCTTGCCAATTCAACATCTTTTCCCATTATTGCACAAGACACAAATGAAGTAGAGTTCATCTGTATCAATGACCTTGTGGTCAGCCTTATGCTCAGCTGCCTTTGTTTCTCTAATGTGAGTCAGGTACCCATATGAGCTGGGTGGATTCCAGGACTGGACCCCAGACTCCAATCCGTGATCTGAATTTGAGACTTTTGGGCTAGAGATTGTGTGCTCCACCTTCATACTGCACCATCCTATTTGAGTTAACTTAGCATGTTGAATCTAAATAAATTTGTTGAAGGAACTACAATAGTCCATTCTTGAAAATAATGTAAACAACTTGAGGGTATAGACCTGTACATTTTTCCTTTTAGATAGTAAATGACTGCAGAAATTAATACTGCATGATTTTCTGCAGTCATTTAAAGATAATGGCTGCAGGGATTAAAATAGCTTGATTGATACCTTACCTTTTTTAGCTGGAACCTACAGTTTCTACAGTCAGAGTTCAAAGGTCTTTTGCCTAAACCATACGAAGCTGGTCCTGACGCAACACGTGTTATACCCTCAGACATGAATGATGTCAATAGAGAGGAACCTTCCAGATATGTGAGTGTGTTGTCTGGGGGTCAAAGGTTATTTATTTTCTGGTGGAGATTTCTGTCTGGTAAAAGTTTAATGTTTAGAAAAATGTTTTATTAGAAGTGTAAATGAAAACAAAATTAAGTCGATATGTAAACAAACTGTTTCTGTTTCTCAGATTAATGTAAGTCCCTATGTTTTAAACAAACTGTTTCTGTTTCAGATTGACATAAGTAGATGCCATTACCTGATAGACAGAGACACAGAGGATGAGACAGCACTGGAGCCTAGATACTCCACTCACAAAGACTGGACAGTGGTCAAACAAGCCCCGTTCATTGATGCTAGCAAGTGAGTTTATTTACAAACTAAGATAAGGCCCTTATGGAGAACTATGTGTAGAATTTTTTTATTTTGCTGCTTTGTATTGTGTGTGTTGGAGTGATATATAGGACTACTGTGTTCATTATTGTATGCTTCGCTTTTTAAAAAGTCAACAATTTTTGTTATGATACATGTTAAAGTGCTATTAGACTAAAATCATTAATTTAGATTGTTCTTTGTGTGTGTAGTGGGGAGGGGGAAGTCGTAATAGCTGTGACAGGTGTAAATAAAGGAAAGAAAAGTTTTTTTCACCCTTGGAAGTTAAGCAGTTTATCCTTTAATATTTCATTTCTGATGCGGGGGGGGGGGGGGGGCAGCGTTGTCGAGTCGGTAAAGCTCATGGTTGCTAAACTGAAAAGTCTCGAGTTCGAACCCTCGGGAAGATGAGGCTCTTTAGCTGGGGACAGCCACTCCTCTAGGAGAGACAACTCAAAAATCAAACAACTGCTGCCTTGTAGTTTGTTCTTGGTTGGACAAAGGCTATGGAAGCAAATCCAAAAAGAAAAGCAGGCTGAAATCGAAATCAATGGCCTCAATGGCGCATAACCAGTTGACACTTATCCTTAATTGTGATGGAGATGTGGTCGAGTCGGCAAAAAAAAAGCCCATGGTTGATAAATTTGAAAAAAAATCTCGAGTTCAAACACTCTGGCAGATAAGGCTCGATCCCTTCCAACGCTAAAAATTAAGAACAAAGAAGAAAAAGATTTCTGATGCTCTTTCTTTTTTAAAAAAAAAATGAAGTACTAGCCTATCAGTTATTTATTTTTTGAAATGAAGTTTGTGTGTTTTAATTTACATTTTTATTTCCCAGGTCCCATCGATTGTTCCGAGCGTTCTACATTCCATTCCTCTCCTCCCAACACTGCCACTACACATCCTACAACCTGCTGAAGACAACTAGAAGTAAGAAAATTTCTCGCCAGTCCAGAAAGTCGAGGTAGTGGCAGCTGTTCACCTTGTTACAATGTTGCTGCTGAAACCATAAACAATTCCACGCTGCGTTGAAAAATATTGCAATATTTTGTTTTAAGTTGATTGATTTTGCCTGTCATTATGTTGAATGATAAGGAAATGTGTAGTATTTTGTGAATAAATAAGTTAAGAAAATGTTTAGTATTTTGTGAGTAAATTAGTTAAGAAAGTGTGTATTTTATTAATAAATTTGTTTAAAAAATTTATTATATTTTGTGAATAAATTAACTTTTATTTGTATAGAATTGTTAGTAATCAACACAATACAAATTTGATACTTATTAAAATATTGGCAGGTTGTGTTAAAGGAAGTATTTTGTTAGAATTGGTACCCCAATTTAACCCTTACTTCAATAGTTTTTTTCCAAAAAAAAACAAAAAAACAACCCCAGTATGATATTATATTTTAAGATATAAATGTCTAATGTTAATAGGAACATTTTTTTATGTAAGTTACAAATAATTATTTAATTAAATTTGTCTGTGATTGTGGTTAGATAGCTTTATTTTATCCAATTAATATTCACTGTAACTTTGATGTTATTTAATCTTTTAAAAATCTTTTGAGTGATATAATGCAGGGAAATTCAGACAATCAAAAGTTTTTTTTGTTTGTTTTTCTTTCTGAGTGTTGCATTGATCAGTATACAATAGTAGTATTTTAGTAACAGAATTTGTTACACTAGACTTATGTTTTTTTTAACACATTAATTAATGAACGTCATTATTTAATTAATTTATAAGTTTAGTTTTTAAGAAATGGTTCAAGGTTTTTGTATTGACAACTTAATTGTATATCTGATGAGTAGTTGTAGGGTGGGTGCTGATACTGTTAACATCATTCCGCAACATTCTCTGTGGGCTGATAGGCTCATGTGAATCAATATCTGCCAGTAATGCTAGTGTATACTAGCCAATACAAATGCTGTGACTAGATTGCATGTTAATGTATTCTTGTATGTTCATAAATATTTTCTGGCTCTTGTTGTTAATGAGGATAGCTGTATACTATTTCACTGTGTTCATATAGTATTAGACTTGAATGGTCTTCCATAGTTTTTTATGTGCTCAATATAAGGTCATTCTCTGCTATGTGTGTTCATTGGAATAGAGAAGCTCAATGTTTTGATTAAGTGTGGTATTAGGCTGGGTTATTTTTTGGTCATTAAAATTATATTGAAACCATTTTTTTTTGCTTGATTGTATTGATGCTTTTAGATTATTCTAAATGTTACAATTGACATTTCATTTTTAGCATGTATTATCTCATATTGTGTAATTATTTAATTAAAAAATAATAGAATGCATAAAAGAACCAGCGCATCCTATCTCTAAAGTCTTAGACTTGTCATGCTAGATGCATGATTGCAAAAGCAGGTCAACTCAACTTTGATCTTCATTACATACCTAAATACAAAACCATGAAACAAAAAGAAATTAAGGAATGCGCATTAAAATCTGCTAAAAATGTTGAGTTTCTTTCTTTTAATACATATTTTCTTATTTCATACATAGGAACTATACATTTATCTGTTCAAAAGTGAATAAATACAGTGATTAAAGTAGAAACATCTCAACATAAATGACATTAAAAAATGAGGTACAATGAATATCATGCTAAATGCTTGTCTCTGTTTACAATTGTACACAAATTAAAGGATTAAAAGCTTAATATAAATTGTATAGAAAACAATGTTACTGGGTTGTTACGACTAGCAGTTCCATAGATAGAACCTCAAATTATCAACTACAACATCAAAAATTATAAATAAATCACCAGTGAGGAAATACATAAACCTATTATTACACTCCTAGCCATATCAATCTATTGATATTAATACTGTGTGCTATTTTTTAAAGATAATGTTCTCAAAAAATTGTTTTAAAATTAAAATTGGGGATAAGTTTTTGCTCAAAATAAAAAAATTCCTTGAGGTAATAAGTGTATTTTAATGTGAAGAGTATTTCCAATGGATGGTGAAGTTAAAAATTATAAATGTGAAAAGATAGAGATGAAACTGAAACAAAAATTGTTTAGCCTGAAAAAAAAAAAAAAAAAACCTTTTCCTCTGCTAAAAACTACAGCTAAATAAAGCTAAGTTTGGCATTGGCTTTTGAGTAGAAACTACAAAACTTACTGTAGATCTAAGACTAAATATATTAATTAAGCTACAGTAAACTACATCTCAAACAACTAAGTAAATAAATGTCTATTGTTTAAAACTTTTAAATCATTAAGTAAAGCATTTGTAATCTAACAATTTAAAAATAATATTTTAAACTAACATTTAAAAAAATTCTTAATAATATTGAATTTCACTTAATATGGTATGGTCAAGTGACACAGCATGTGACTATAGTAACCTTGAAGTATTTACATTCTGTTCACTGGCTTCTTCCTCAGAATAACCTTGTGTCCACCCAGCTCGGTGGGCACCAGACCCAACTCATGTAGGTAAGGGGTCATCCATTTATGACGTCCACACGCGGTGAGGGGGGGGGGGGGTCCGAAAAAACTGGCTTTTGTGGACGCATATGGACTTGTATAAAGAAAAACAGTGGATTTTTGTGGACGGGGGGGGGGGGGGGGGGGGGGGGTGTCCAAAATAAAAAAAAATTGTGGACGTCATATATGGATGACCCCTAAGGGTAGAATGTTGCTGACCACATAGTCCTGACATAAACCCAGGTAATACACAGATGAACTCTACTTCATCTGTCAATTTTACTTAAATTTAATTTATTTGAATTCATTACAATACAAGTATGATTTTACCATGTGATTTTTGTAGCCTGCTTGGTCAAACTTTTCAATTAATTTCAAGCCTGCTTTGTGAGGAAATATTTCAACAGATAAACCTTTTCAGATCATAATTCTTTTTAACAAATGTTTGTTTCGTTTACTGCATGTGCTGCAACAATAAATAATTTTAGCATAAAGTCAAGTGACACATACATAACAAAAAAAAACATAATAATTTTTCAATACTGTTATGTACACAAAAACAAACCAGATTATAAAAATCTGGGATTTTTTTTTTTACCATACTTGATATGGAAATAAAAATCAAATGGAACAAGTAAAAAGTTAATTATTATTAGCCTATAACAATTATCTTTTATGAAATTAAAAGAAGGAAATTTAGCTTTAATCTTCAGAAGAAATAATCTAGAATAAATAAATCTTTTTATTTTATATAATTGATAGATATTATAAAATGTAGAGTGATAAGGATATTTTATCGACAAGTTTGAAATGTAGTGAAGGTATGTTTTTACCATAGAGGTTAAGATGTAGTGAAAGTATTTTTTTTTACCATAGTTTACATTGTAGTAAAAGTATGTTTTTACCAAAGAGTTTAAATTGTAGTAAAAGTATGTTTTTACCAAAGAGTTTAAATTGTAGTAAAAGTATGTTTTTACCAAAGAGTTTAAATTGTAGTAAAAGTATGTTTTTACCAAAGAGTTTAAATTGTAGTAAAAGTATGTTTTTACCAAAGAGTTTAAATTGTAGTAAAAGTATGTTTTTACCAAAGAGTTTAAATTGTAGTAAAAGTATGTTTTTACCAAAAAGTTTAAAATATATATTGACCATTAACAATGACTTAATGTAAGTCATTATAAAAATAACAGGCCAGAGTTGGATATACAGTGCTAAAACATGTAATCATACATACATAAAACAACATGCACATATAAAGCATAATTCAGTACTTTTTAAAATGTATCATTTATGTATTGTGTTAGTATTAAAATAACAAAACTTGTATGGACAGTTTTTGCTTCACAACTTGTTGCAGAACACCATTTATTTCTACAATAAGATACAATGTGGTTTAAAAACAATGCCAATATTAACAACAGTCTTTACACAGAAGTATTGATACAATGATAAGAGTTGGCCTACTCATAGCTATGGTTAGGTAACTTCCATTTGTTATTTATAAAACAAAATATAAAGCTCGCTATTAATACAATGGTAGTGCTTATTGTAGTCTATGGAAGACTGAATAAACAATATGCTTATTTCCACCAACAGTTTTTGAGGAAATAAACACAAAAAAGCTGCTTATTTCATTAATTTAGTTTAAATTCTTAATCTTTGCTGTAAAAAATATATTATTTTACATTGATTAAACCTAGCCCCTAACCGTAATAGATATAATATGTTTAAAATTATATTTTTAAAGCTGTTTGCACTTTAAACAAAAAAAAAAAAAACCAAAAAAAACAACAATATGAAGTGTTTTGTTATATGAAAATATGGTACCCCAGTCTTAACCCTTACTTTAACAGCCTTATTGGCACAGAAAAAAAACCTCAGTATGATATTTATTTTTAAATATATGATTGGTTGCCTATAAAATAAATAGAAGCTAAATAAAGATCACAGTTGGCCAAAATAAGCATAGTGTTTATTAGGTCTATCACTGACAGAATAAAGCACATCCTGGTACAAAAATAAATAAATTTTAGGCCTATTTATAGTTACAAGTTAGGTATTTTCATTGATCCATTGATAAAAAAAACTACAGCCCACTCTATAATTAAATCCATTAGATTCTAGACATGATTTGTTGGATAAAGGATTGATACCATTTTTAAAAATAAAACTACTTTGTATATTTTTCTTCTTCGTTCTTAAATGTAAAATTGGAAGGGATTTCCTCCAACAAAATCAAGTATGGCGCACTGACTCTGATTTCAGCCAGATTTATTTTGACTCTGATTTCACCCAGATTTATTTTTTTGGATTTGCTTTCATAGACTTTGTTCCACTTAGAACAATTAAGGACAGGTTTAAAAAATTTGTAATTAAATTTACAAAAACAAAACAACCAGTTTTAATTAAACACTTTGTTGCTAATGAATATGAGTTTTCATAAGGCCCAGCTGTACAGTAAAAAACAAAATTATGCAGAAAAAAAAACAATGAACAACGATTGATTATTGTGAGTAACTCCAGCTTCAGTGGTTTTACAGTATATCACAAGCCAACAAGAACAGACTACTCTGATTGCTCTTTTTGAGGGGGGATAAGTTTTGGAGCAAAGTACTACAATGTAACTTGTAGCGTAAGTTGAACCATAAAGAGGTTTACAAAAAAATATGATTACATTTTATTTACTATAACTAAATGTGTTTTGTAGAAACTTTTTCTACACTTTTAAATTGGCATACATTTTATTTGGTTTTAATGTAATTTTACAAATCAAAAGTTAAAACACAATTATTAGCTATAAGTTTTATAAGAAATTAAAAAAATTAAAATATTTGAAATATTTAAAACATTGATGACTTCAGTTGATTTTGACAGCAGACCAAAGCAAACCTAAAGTCCAGCATCTTGAGTAGCATCTACAAGGAGGTAAGTATGACACCTGTTCACACTTCACTTATTTGGTGATCAGTTTTGGTTGAAAATAAACACATCAACAGTCAAAATGAAACAAATACATTAAAAAATGCAATGAAGTTAGATCACAGAACCAATAATGTACACAAAATATGCTGAATGCAACTCTTGCATTTGATTTGAATGACGAACTAGAAAATCCATTCCAGAATTGTGAACAAATATTTAAATTTTCTGACTTGCATCTATTAATTTGGAGGTAACAAAAAAACTGTGATTCACAGGATCACATTTTAACTGATCACAGCTAGCCATGTGAAGATTTGGTGACATGTTACAAAAATCCTAGTCTATTTGACTGAATGAACAAGCTACGCCACATCGAACTTGCTAAATGAAAAAATTACAAGATTCCATGACAATTTTTCTGAATGAACAAATTTCATATTCCCAAGTCCATTTTGTAGAATGAACAAATTATGTTGAATTACATCGATTTCTCTGAAAGAACAAATGATAATTAGCCTAGATAAACTGATTGAATGAACTGATTGTAATTATCCAGGTCAATCTTATTAAACGAATTAATTATTGATTGGCTGAGAGCTGAGAAAACACAACACCAAACACAACACGTTGCATAATGAGCTACACGTCATTGGCCACAGCAAGGGCCTCCGAGGTTTACAAACAAAAATAATGCTGGCATTATAGTATAGTAGTCATATAGGAGCCCTGGGTCTTTTAATACACCCATATCAGGGGTCATCCAATGGTTTCAACCCGTCAGGGATCCTAGACTTGCATCTCTTCATTTCCTGAAGTGATTCACTGAAGCGTGTCAAAGACCAGCTGATGCAGGGTCCATTAATCCAACAAGTAAAGATTAACACACTGTGGATTTAGATAATTCCCAACACGTTCCCCTGTAATGGTTTGACTTGATCCTTAAAGATTAACACACTGTGGATTTAGATAATTCCCCTGTAATGGTTTGACTTGATCCTTAAAGATTAACACACTGTGGATTTAGATAATTCCCCTGTAATGGTTTGACTTGATCCTTAAAGATTAACACACTGTGGATTTAGATAATTCCCCTGTAAATGTTTGACTTGATCCTACTTGCATCTTCTGACCTACAGAGGCAGTGACCTAATTATTGTCAGATTCTCCTCTATTACACAGGGATTTCTCTTCCAGGCCAGGTTTGTGAGAGAAACATCAGGAGTCTAGCGTTGCTTCCCACATCTCTTTAAACTTTGAATCAGAGTTGAGTAGGCTGGCTGGTGTGTCAAACTCTTTCATCTGTCAACAAACAATGTCAGATGTCAGAGGAAATTTTAAATGGATGTTTACTTCATGTCAGATATTAGAGGAAATTTTTAATTGATGTGTATGGGACTGTTGAGCTTACAGGTAGAGAATAACATTAATTACCAAATGTGCAGGGTTTAAACTAAGGAATTAGGCTGGTATATGGATATTTGATTTCAAGGTGATTTAAGCTAGACTGGTCAGCAGACAGGATTATAGAAGCTGGCTTGTGGAAATGATTATAGAGGTCACTGGATTATAAGGTTAGCCAGTGGATTATTGATCTCAGAAATAATTTTTTTTGATGTTGTTGCAAGTTTTAAAATTTTTGTATTTACATTTAGTAATCAGTCAAACTAAAAACACTATGCCTAACACGACTTGCAGGGGAGACAACCAACTACAAGTAGTGAGCTCTGTCACTTACCGTTCCTTCATCTAGAACTAAAATCTTATCACACGACCGGACAGTGTTGAGCCTGTGGGCTATGATGAGCATGGTGCACTGGCTGAATGCATCGTGCAAGGTGCTCTGTATCAGTGCATCAGTTTCTGTGTCAATGGCCGCCGTGGCTTCGTCTAATATCAGTACCTGTATGTACAAGTTGACATTAGTTACACAATAATTTCAATACTGCATGTAAGATTGTAAGTGCTCTTCTTGTTTGATGATCAAGGCCTGTGATCTAAACATAAATTACAATAGCTTAATAGCCAATAATAAAAACATGGATGTATTACAACACAGAATTATTCAACCCAACAGAATTTTAGAAAGTGGATTCAGGTACCCATTACACCTGGGTGAACTCCATGAAGTCCTACGGATTTGAACCCAGGATCCGAACTTAAAAATTTCATGTTAGCAGGTGTATGCTCTACCATCCTACCACTCTTTAAAGAAGTGTATTGTAACTCTATTCTTTTATGCATGGGGCAAACTTGATTTTGAAGTTCATTTCTATAAAAACAGTAAATGGTGCCTGGGACAGAGTACCCCCCTCACCCCCGCCTAGGGACGCCATTTTGTCTAAAGAAGCCCATGAAACATCTTACCTTGCTGTTCCTAAGTAAAGCTCTGGCCATACACAGAAGTTGTTTCTCCCCCACAGAGAAGTTGTCCCCATTCTCTACTATATTGGTGTCCAGCTGACCATCCAATGACTTGACCTGTATGTTGGTAGGGGGAGGGGGGGAAGGAGAAACACATTAGGTCAATAGAACATTGACAGAGGTAAGACTTTTGGGTTAGTAGTCAAGCGCTCTACTGCTAGGCCATGCAAAATTCCAAATAGAAATAATTATTTTTTAAATTCATTATTGAACTAGGAAACCAATATGGTTTATAATTTTGAACAGGTTTTTAAAATGACATCAATTTTTAAAAATATGCTGTTCCAGCTGTTTATATTAGCTCGTATGCCAATTAGAACAATGAATGCTTTTTTTTGACACTACTGTAACAACATGTCATTCAAGGTCGCCCCAGTTAGAACCTTGAATGTAGAAAAATGATGTAGTAGTGGACTCACCATGCTAGAGATGTGACAATATAACAACAAATGGTGTAGTGGACTCACTAGAGATGTGACAATATAACAACAAATGGTGTAGTGGACTCACTAGAGATGTGACAATATAACAACAAATGGTGTAGTGGACTCACTAGAGATGTGACAATATAACAACAAATGGTGTAGTGGACTCACTAGAGATGTGACAATATAACAACAAATGGTGTAGTGGACTCACCATGCTAGAGATGTGACAATATAACAACAAATGGTGTAGTGGACTCACTAGAGATGTGACAATATAACAACAAATGGTGTAGTGGACTCACCATACTAGAGATGTGACAATATAACAACAAATGGTGTAGTGGACTCACCATACTAGAGATGTGACAATATAACAACAAATGGTGTAGTGGACTCACCATACTAGAGATGTGACAATATAACAACAAATGGTGTAGTGGACTCACTAGAGATGTGACAATATAAAAACAAATGGTGTAGTGGACTCACTAGAGATGTGACAATATAACAACAAATGGTGTAGTGGACTCACTAGAGATGTGACAATATAACAACAAATGGTGTAGTGGACTCACCATGCTAGAGATGTGACAATATAACAACAAATGGTGTAGTGGACTCACTAGAGATGTGACAATATAACAACAAATGGTGTAGTGGACTCACCATACTAGAGATGTGACAATATAACAACAAATGGTGTAGTGGACTCACCATACTAGAGATGTGACAATATAACAACAAATGGTGTAGTGGACTCACCATACTAGAGATGTGACAATATAACAACAAATGGTGTAGTGGACTCACTAGAGATGTGACAATATAAAAACAAATGGTGTAGTGGACTCACTAGAGATGTGACAATATAACAACAAATGGTGTAGTGGACTCACTAGAGATGTGACAATATAACAACAAATGGTGTAGTGGACTCACCATGCTAGAGATGTGACAATATAACAACAAATGGTGTAGTGGACTCACCATACTAGAGATGTGACAATATAACAACAAATGGTGTAGTGGACTCACCATACTAGAGATGTGACAATATAACAACAAATGGTGTAGTGGACTCACCATGCTAGAGATGTGACAATATAACAACAAATGGTGTAGTGGACTCACCATGCTAGAGATGTGACATTTATCTAAAGCCTGCCAGATCTGGGCATCTGTGTACTTATCAAATGGGTCAAGGTTATACCTGTGGAAAACAGCATAATGGTAACACATGTATTGTGAGCAGGAAATGTGTCAGCACACATCAAAGCTAAAATTTGGTCTGGTAAACTAGGTGCAGTTGGACCTGATGGTTAATTATTAAGATAGAGTAGAGTTCACGTTTCTTGTGATCGTGGTTTTAACAGGGCAGATGTAGTAGAGTTAACATGTTATTTTGACCACAGCATATAAAAGGATAGTATGGTCAGTTCTTTATCCAGCCATATTTACTTTTACTAATAAGTTGCGCCATTCAGAACTGGGAGACACAGAAATGTCCTACAGACTTCCCTCACAACACATCACACACCTGATGTAACATCACTCACAACACATCACACACCTAATGTAACATCACTCACAACACATCACACGCCTAATGTAACATCACTCACAACACATCACACACCTAATGTAACATCACTCACAACACATCACATACCTGATGTAACATCACTCACAACACATCACACACCTGATGTAACATTACTCACAAAACATCACACACCTGATTAACATCACTCACACATCACACACCTGATTAACATCCCTCACACATCACACACCTGATGTAACATCACAACACATCACACATCTGATGTAACATCCCTCACACATCACACACCTGATTGTTCCAGCAAACAAGACTGGGTCTTGTGGAATTATAGACAGCCTTGACCTTAGATCCTCCACAGGAAGTTTAGATAAATCAACACCATCAATAAATATTTGACCAGACTCCAGTTCCACCAAGCGAAACAACGCCACTGTTAAAGAAGATTTGCCTACAAGGGGGAAAACAAGGACATTGTAGTGACAACATTCATTGTGAAACTTTTCACATTTTAGTTCATTATACTCGAGAATTCTTTTCCTTACAAGTAATTTCAATCTTGAAATAGGTTGGGTATGGTGTTAGGTAATTGATTAGGATCAGGGTTAGAGTTAAGGTTGTGTATTATAAAACAGCTTTATAAAACTGTTAGTAGTTTCCTATAGTGGGTTTAACAGGAAAGCAATTTTAAAAAAAATTTAAATTTTAATTGTATGGTTGTAAAAGTCCAAACAAAAGGCATTACTTATGTTTTTTATAGTCTAGGGTGTTTGTTTCATGATTAAGTTAAAAGGTGAAATATAAAGAAGGTGGTTGGATCAACATCTAGCCAACTTTTAACTACTCAAGTTGACTATACTGCCCACATCAATTCACAACTTGCTAAAGAAAAACATAGACTAGTTAACTACCCCCCTACTTCACACAATGCCTTGAGGAAAACATTGACTAGTTACCTGCTCCTGACGCCCTACATGAAAACATGGACTTGCTACCTGCCCCAGTTCTGCCCACAATGCCCTACATGAAAACATGGACTAGTTACCTGCCCCTGTTCTGCCCACAATCCCTATCTTCTGATGAGGCTCAGCTCTGAAAGTGACACCTTTTAATGCCAGAGGTGCTCCTTCCCTGTACCTGAGTTTGACATTGTTAAACTGTAGGTCAGCAGACTTGGGCCAGTCTGGGGGGACTTGACCACTGACCACTGGCTTGCAGGGGTCAGGTTCCTCCACCTGTAGGACAGGAGATTGGTCAGTTGTAACAGGTAGCTATGAGAATAGGCGGCTAATAGAGCAGACAGCTATGGCAGCTAATAGAGCAGACGGCTATGGCAGCTATTAGAGCAGACGGCTATGGCAGCTAATAGAGCAGACGGCTATGACAGTTATAGATCAGACAGCTATGACAGTTATAGATCAGACAGCTATGGCAGCTAATAGAGCAGACAGCTATGGCAGCTAATAGATCACACAGCTATGGCATTTATAGTCAGCTAAAACTTCAAATACAAAAAAGTCTTAGACTAATGCTATAATTTTCCTCAACCAAACTACACTTGTGACATACTGGTGTTGACATCACATTTGTGATGTCATGACATACTGGTGTTGAAACACATTGCTGATGTCATGACATACTGGTGTTGACAACACATTTGTGATGTCATGACATACTCGTGTTGACAACACATTGCTAATATCATGACATACTGATGTTGACATCACATTTGTGATGTCATGACATACTGGTGTTGACAACACATTTGTGATGTCATGACATACTCGTGTTGACAGCACATTTGTGATGTCATGACATACTCGTGTTGATAACACATTGCTAATATCATGACATACTGATGTTGACAACACATTGCTAATGTCATGACATACTGGTGTTGACAACACATTTGTGATGTCATGACAACACATTGCTATTGTGACATGCTACTTGATTCTATCAAGACTCTAAAGAGAAACACTACATTACATTGCAGTATTCCAGGACCCTCTGTACTGCAGTAAATCTTGCTTCTGTTTCAACAGCCAGTCTAGCAGTAAACTGGAACAGCCCAGACAACTGAGGGGAGATAATTTTGTTCAATATTAAAAATATGGTTTTTAATAAGATAAGGAAAATAAATTAATTCACCATCAAAGTACTGTGCGTATCAAAGGGAATCAATTTTATCAAATAATGAAATTCTGTGTTTTTTTCAATGTTCAGGGAGACCACTTCCAATAGCATAAATACAATATTTATAAAAGTTATCACTTAAGGGCTTTTGTTTTTGAGTCAGCAATGAGATTATTTTAAAACATCTGAAATTCTCAATAGCATCAGTTGACCTCAACCATATACAATAAATGGGTACTAAGGGTAGTATGACGTGATCAGCCATTTAACTTAACCTTTTGACCCTATTCTGGCCCTATACATAAAAATCAAGGATCGTGTATGATCAACCACTTAACCCTCGACCAAATACATTAGAACCAAGTCTAGTATTTGATAAATCAATTAACCTTTGACCCTATACATTGGTAGTGTGTAATTAGCCACTTAACCTTTGACCTCACCTGTAAAGCAAACGACAGCGCCAGGCCAGCGAGCGCTGGGTTGAGGTAATCATAGGTGGCCAGGACCAGTAACCCAGTAAGGAAGGCAACTCCTGAGCAGACCAGATCCAAGCGGAGCGCCAGCCAGCGGTTGGACGAGTGGAACAAGAAGACGGCCACACTGTTGGTGTTGAGCAGTTCAAAGTGTCTGGACATTCAGGGAATAATTATAACATAATTAATTACCTTGCTTTATTCTACAGCACAACCAGCTAAATTATCAATCAGACTATTAATTTTAAAATTATTTTTAAAAACGAATTCAAAATGGAAACCATGTGGTACAATAAAATTGATTACATTTTTAATAAATGAGAACCATAAAATATTTAATAATTGTCCAGGTATGAAGATTTGTGGCAAAGATTTATATTTGTATCTAAATTAAATAAAGCATAGAAGTTTAATCAACTTTGTAATTTAAATTTCAGATATAAAAATGGTGTAGGCAGTTAAGACATTTTTTTTTCAATTACATTTGTAGATTAATCAACCAATATGTAAAAACAATGAATGTATTACACACCAATTTATGTTAAATGTTAGCAATATAGATGTATTGGTTATCCACTAGTTATTAGAACCTACTAGTTCATGGAGGTAATGAATGAACATTATACTATGGAATTATACTCGGTTATGTAATAGTTTTAGTTTTAAAGTTGGCGGTTTACTAGAATCATGATTTAGTGTAAAATTCCGATCATGATGAATAGTATCAACTGATTTTTTTCTTACAATTTAAGACATTATATGAAATAGTTTCTAGATAGAAACCAAGATGATTTAGAAAAGTAGGCATGTTTACTTTTGCAAAAGACAAGTGGGCATTGATGACTTAGAAAAAACTTGTGCAAGATAGAAGAGTATAGTAATGACAATGACAAGTACTATTTGCATAAGAGAAGAATATATGAATGACAATGACAAGTACTATTTGCATAAGAGAAGAATATATGAATGACAATGACAAGTACTTGTACATGGGAGAAGAGTATATGAATGACAATGACAAGTACTTGTGCATAAGAGAAGAGTATATGAATGACAATGACAAGTACTTTTGCATAAGAGAAGAGTATATTAATGCCAATGACAAGAACTTACTTCTGCATGAACTGTTGAGACTTGTGATAGGCGTGGATACAAGCCAACCCTTGGATGGATGCGGTCATGTGACTTATGACAGGTGACCGTGTCACATTGTCCAGGCACTTGAGCTCACACACGCACACATGGAATATGATCATCAACAGAAAGAACAGCATGCCCAGTGGCACAACTGCAAGAAGGAACCATGGCGACACGTAGCCAATCATAGCAATGGCTGCCAGAACTTGAAGTACATTGGTTAAAAATATCTCCACGTTCATTGGTAGACGAACATCCACTAAAAGTTGGAAGGAATTTTTTAGGAACAAAATGTTAAAGATTTTCATAATTTGATTAAAATAATAATATATAATTTTAAAAAGTCAAATAAACAAGATGCAGATAGAAACAAATATTAAAAAATGAAAACTTAAGAATAAACATTTTTTAAAGCTACAGAAAAGAAAGATTAAATAAATAAATAAAACAAATACATTAAAAAAGAATTAAAAAATGTTTAAAAATAGTTCTAAATAAGTAAAATGGAATGCTTATTGAGTAACACAGAATAGTTACAGACAAATGATCTCACTTTCATCAAGATCTGCTGAAAACCTGTTGATAATTCTGCCAATGGGCGTTGTCTCAAAAAATGACATCGAGCATCTTATAATGTGGACAAAACCTCGATCATGTAAGTTACTGGAGGCTCTTAGAGAGGCCTGAAATATCACAGTCAACATTGACTACGTTAACAAACAAAGATGGAAGTCTATAGGGCAGAGCTGGGTTAGAATTACCAGTACTTTGACTGCATTGAAATTATTGATGGCGTTGCTAAAGCAACTCAATCTAAATCTGACTTTAAAAAAAAAGTAACCAGGGGGGCAATACCAAAATGGGCTGGAAAAACAAATTAAAATCTCATTTTAGCTGCAGTTTTGCATTATAAATATAAAAAATATATTGGGGGGGGGGGGGGTGAAAATGGAAAGTTTGAGGAAAGGGGTGCAAATTGAAAGTTTGAGGGGGGGGGGGGGGGAGGGGTTGCGAATTGAAAGTTTGAGGGGGGTGGGGGGTGCAAATTGAAAAGTTGTTCCCGAGGGGGGCACCAAAATGAAAGTTAGTCCCCGGGAAGGTTCGCTACGCCTCTGGACATGACTCAAAACCTTGAGGTTAGTAATCCTATACTCCACCACTTAACCAAGCCTGGCTTTAAACCTAACACTGAGACGGTCAGGGACGGAAGATCTTTACCTTCATGATGCAGAATGACCGGAGCAGTGTGACCAGGATGAGCAGGGGGATGAACCCAGCATAAACCAGGAGGTAGTTGTTGAGGTTGGGGTTGTCAATGACTCTTGTCTCCAGCACTGTCTGGTTGTCTGGGCCAACCAGGGCACTGGAATTCTGGGAAATCAAAAAGTTAAAAAAAAAATTTAATTTGTCATCTCAATATTTATCATCTTTAAAGTTAGACAAAACTGAAATACTGAGACACAAAATATACCCCATTCCTCCAGCCACGTACCCCACTCCCAACCCATTTACCCCATTCTCCTAACCATTTCCCCATTCCCAACCCATTTACCCCATTCCCCCCTACCCCATTCCCAACCCATCTACCTCATTCCCCTAACCATTTCCCCCCAGCCACTTACCCCATTCCCCTACCACTTACCCCATTCCCCCAGCCACTTACCCCATTATTTATCTATTTACCCCATTCCCCTAACCATTTCCCCCCAGCAACTTACCCCATTTCCCTACCCCATTCTCAACCTATTTACCCCATTCCCCCAACCACTTACCCCATTCCCTTGCTCCAACCAATAGGACAGATACCAACTGGCTGTGGTCACACCAGCTACCGGCAGACAGAAGCAGATGAATATAAAAAACAAAGCCACATATCCTCCCAGAGATTTGATATACTCGTGAACCACATAAAACTTGAGGGATCCGCTGTCCATCTCCTCCTCCTTGATCAGTTTCTCAGCACCTGAGAAAACAAAAATTGACAACAAAATGTTATAAAATAACAAGTAAACAAGTAATACATCTGTTTCAAAAGCCAGAAATGCAAGTGAAATGTTCATGCGTTAATTTGATTCACAACATCACCATCACACAATACCACCTAAGGTTGAAAAAAAGTTTAAAAAAAAAAAAAAAAAAAACCCACCCACAGGTAAGTGTTTACTATTTGTCTTAGTTTGTTTACCTTTGATGACCCCATTAAGTCCTGTGTCTGTGTGGTTGCTTTTGGTCCTATCATCATGGTCCCCATGGCCCAAACTATTGCTGTTGTCATCAGGTATAACATCTGGATCAAACAGGAATTTATTTTTATAAGGACAGGAAATACTTCTAGTCAACACAACAGAGTTTCCTTACAAATAGGAAAAAACTAAAGTTTAGTTCTGGTTTATTTTGGTCCTTAGAGACCTAAAAATGCTGGGGTACTTCAAGTTATATTTTATTTCTTAGCAATTTTTTATTTTAATTATTCTGAAAAGAATTGCTTCATTTTATTTTAGATTAATACCACCAAAGCTTGAAAAAAAACCTTTTAAAGTTCATTATCAGTCTTTAAGAGAAAGTTTAGTAAGATAAAACATTTTATTAAAAATTAATAGTGTGTTTACTTGTGCAAAGTTATCCTAACTTTAGCAACAATTTTCTAAATAAATTTTTTAAGAATCTGCAGTATTTTACAGGGATAATTATAAAACTTAAAATTAAAAAAAATGTTTTACAGAACAAAAAGTTTAAACTCCTCACCTGGAGTTTTTACCGTGTCCCCATTTCGTAATTTTTTCCTCTCAGTTTTTCTATCACCAGGTTCCTCATGGTTGACCTTATACAAACTCAACAAATTTGCATATTCCTTCCCATTGGATAAAATAAAGTCATGTGTTCCTTTCTCCACAACAGCCCCATCTCTCATCACAAGAATTTCATCACAGTACTTCAAATACTGTAAGGTAAAAATGTTAGTTTTTGAGATAAAATATTTCATATAAACAATTGTATTTAAGTTAATGGTATAAAAAGACATAATTTTTGTCGGTGTAAATATAATATAAAAGATTGATCAGGATTAGACATTTTTTTTTTTAATTTAGAACTAAAACCAGCCCTTTTCTTCATCTTTTTTTTCATTCTTAATTGTAATGTTGGACAGTGTTTCCTCCACCACTGTTAAGTATAACATGGCCTCTTGACTCTGATTTCAGCATGATTTACTTTCTGGATTTGCTTCTATAGCCTTTGTCTATCCAACAACATGTTGAAAAGCAGCAGCTGTATGATTTTGGAATTGCTGTCCCTGGCTATTGAGCCTGACCTGCTCAGGGGTTTGAACTCAGAACTTTTGTGTTTAGTAGCCATGGGCTTTACTAACACACAGCTTTTTAAAAAAAATTCTTGTTGTTTAAAGTGGGAAAAATATTCTTTTAAATTTGAATTTACAGCAATGTCAGCCAGAGAGCTAAATATGATATATAAAACAGTCTGATGAAGTTTTATTAAAAATCAATTAGCCTCTACCCACCTCTAAATGATGTGTCACAAAGACGACCGTCCGACCTTTGAGCAGTCCCATAATGCAGTGCTGGAATATATGTTGACCTATATGCACATCAACAGCGGAAAGTGGGTCGTCCAGTAGAACTAGGTCACATTTGCTGTAGGCAGCTCTGGCCAGGGATATTCTTTGTTTCTGACCCCCACTTAGGTTAGCTCCCCTCTCACCCACCTGTAATACAGACAAGATATCACATTCAATATTATCCAGCAAACATGAGTGCTCTGATGGGTACCTGACTCATGTTAGGGAAACAAAGGCCACAGGGCATAGTGCTGACCACACTTCATATGCTGAGGTCTCTGTAGCAGATCAACTCTTCTTCATCTGCCCCAAGTTTCTTGGCCACTGGGCATAGTGCTGACCACACTATCCCTTGATATGCTGAGGTCTCTGAAGCAGATGAACTCTACTTCATCTGCCCCAAGTTTCTTGGCCACTGGGCATAGTGCTGACCACACTATCCCTTGATATGCTGAGGTCTCTGAAGCAGATGAACTCTACTTCATCTGCCCCAAGTTTCTTGGCCACTGGGCATAGTGCTGACCACACTATCCCTTGATATGCTGAGGTCTCTGAAGCAGATGAACTCTACTTCATCTGCCCCAAGTGTTTTGGGCACAAACGTGAAAAGTTGAGATGAAACGTATGGGTGATTTTAATACAGTTTGGGCTGTAGTTTGAAGTCCTGCTGTTATAGCAATGTGAATTATTTTGAAAACCATTATTAAAAATCGTCCTGGTTCAATGTTACAGTCAAGCACAACATCATGGGTTAAAGCAAATTAACCCTTTTGACCCTGGTGGTCCATATGGCAGATGAAGTAGAGTTCACCTGTTTCTGTGACCTAGACAGATGAAGGGATAGTGTGGTCAGAACTTTACTTTCCCTGACATGAGTCAGGTACACATCAGAGCTTGGTAGATATATCTTAAAGACTGGACCATATTGGGTTAAGCAAAAAAGGAAAGGATTTTCTAAAAAAAAGTGAGCAGAACGGAAATAAATTTAACAACAATCCACATAGATTTGCTTAATTTTTCAAGACGTGGCAGGATATATGGGACAGGTGAGATAAACCTTACCTCAGTGACATCACCATGAGGTAGGCACTGGAAGTCATCAGTCAGACCACAGGCATTAATCACTTGCTTGTATCTGATACAAAATGAGGTGGGTGAAATTTTTTTTTTAAATCTACACATTTTTTAAAACATTCACATTATTTTTTTTTTTTAACATCTGTTTGGGGTTTCATGTATTTATAAGTGTGATTCTAGTTTTCCAATTCAGTTAAAAAAGCATGCCCCCCCCCCCCCCCCCATTAATAACTTGCTTGTATCTGATACAAAATGAGGTGGTTGAAAATTTTTTTAAAAATCTACACATTTTTAAAAACAGTTTTTTTAAACATCTGGTTGGGGTTTCATGTCTTTGTATGTGTAATTCTAGTATTCCAATATAACTAAAAAAGCATTTTCCCCCTCCCCCATCACCTAATGTAGAATATGTCCTCATATAACAAATATCTCTCTTCAGCCCCAATCCCCATCTTTTTCAATACATAAAAATCCTCACTTGATAACAGGATAGTTTCTAAAAAAGCAATCAGAGACATCAATCCTACCTTGCTGCATCAAACTCATGCCCAAAAATGATGTTGTCCTTGACAGTGTCATTGGTGACCCATGCCTGCTGTGGGACATATGCCACACCCCCTGCCACAGCCACTGACCCAGACGCCACATCCATCTTGGTGAAAGAAAAATTGTACACATTTTAAGGAAACAATTTTGATTATATTTTAAAATTTTTATACAGATCTTTAGTTATAAATTTAAAAAGTTATTAGAATAATTAGTTTCCAGATGCTATTCATAATCCACCATACAGGTTGGTATATATTACAATCTTTTTTCTGCATCAGTTTCTGAAAGCAAATTTTTTTACACAGGGTAGACAAATCAAACGTATGAGTTACTTCCCTTATGGGTTCTGATGTATTAAATTACCTACCCTTCCCAACATGGCGCTTAAGAGAGAACTTTTCCCACTTCCTATGTTGCCACACACACCTAGTATCTGACCCTTTAAAAAACAGGATGACAAATTCATTAAACAAAACAATTGACAGTAATAGTATAAAAATAGATTAATGGAACTTGTATTTTCATTTATTATTATTAACGTATTTTGACTCTTTATTATTGTTAATAATAATAAAAATAATTTTATTTCTAAAAAATAATTAGATCTATAAAATATTTAAAAAACACAGAAACCTCCCTTCCCTGTTAGATACTTCAGACAGCCTACTAAATATCACATATTTTGAAGCACATTTTTCAACCAGGCAGGTAGTTTGAGAACCCCTACTGATAACTCAGGCCCATTTTTCATCATGAATATTTATAAGGGGGTGGCAATTTTGATGAGCTGAGATGCTTTATGATGCTTTATAAAAATTCCTGATTTAACTGCATGCTAAATTTGGCCTTCCGGTTGTTGCCTGTATGCCCTATAATTAGGTCATGTCAGGAGTTGTTTGACCCTCATTTTAAAAATTGTGTTGATACTCAAAATTTCATGACTTCTATTTTAGCACATTTTTTAAGGAACAATTTTTAGCACATTTTTTAAGGAACAATTTTTAGCACATTTTTAAAAAAGAAATCAAGATCTGAGAATAATGTTTAAAAATCTTTCATTGCAAAATAATAACATAAACCATTAAGTGTTTATCAGAATCAAAATGCATGATGTGAAGCTAAAGCAACAATCTAATTTAAAAAATACTAGAATTATCAATAACGAGCCGACCCGCGGCGTATAATATGCCGCTATTTAGTTGTTTTATTTTCTGCTTTTCTGTAATTCATAATTTGTGAATTCGACAGTACCAATGCTGCCACTGAAAATATTTGCTTTAAAACACTATCAGTAGGTCATTAAGGACGATAACCCCCCCCCAAGCCTCCTTTCCCCCAACCCATACCCTACAACCGCCCCCCCCCCCCCCGTGAAAGCAGCCTCCTCTTAGTTACCTCCCCTAAGTTTAAAATCGTTTCAAACTAAATTATCTGCCCCTAATAGCCGTCACTAAACCCGGCTCTACGATTGTAAACATTTAGCGTGAACCACAGCTCACCAGACCATGTGGGGGTGGCATGGATATGCCTAGAGAGGAAGAGAGGGGGCTTGCTAGGCGCAATTGCAGCTCGATGTTTTCTAGGGTATCCAAGAAGAGAATTATATATATAGATTGTAATAGTTTTTATTAGCCCTCTGCTTTATTTGCAGAAGAGAAAGTACAGACACTAATACATATTGATGTTTAGTTATTTTATAAATAAAGGAATTAAATTAGTATATTTTCTATCCAAACAAAAAATCATTTAATTTTAACTTCCTTTTCAAAAATAGATTACATCTATTAAAATACATCAACTCATGTCAACATTTCAACTTTAAATCACTCAGAAAGCCAGATTTAACCTTCATATTTCGGCATTTCTTAATGCCAAAAACTACATTCAAAAACTGTCTTTAATAAACTATAAATACTTGCCCTATAATCATAAATTATCCTGAGCAGAAGTGTGTGAACAAAAATGATCTTAATTATGTCATAGCTTAAACTTGTATGTCTGGCTCGGACTGGTTCTTGCAATATATTTTTTAAAACAGTGACACAAGGTTGAGAACCTTATTACAACCCTCATAAAAAACACAGACACAATTATCAAAACAGGGATCCTATATTGGAGCGCCACAGCAGTTGGTTAGCTGCTGCTCTAAACAGAGGTTGACCACACTAAACAGGGGAGCTGAAGGTTCTGTCATTGACCATTCTAAACAGGGGTGAGCAGGGGTGTAGCGACCCCTCCCAGTGCCCAGGGAAAAACTTTCAATTTGGTGCCCCCCCCCCCCCCCATATATTTTTTATATTTATAATTCAAAATAGCAGCTAAAATGAGCTTATTTTGGCATCCCTAGGGTGAGCGCCAGGGGACATATGTACCCCCCCCCCACCACCCCCGTCACTACGCCTCTGGAGTTGAGTCTATTAAGTCAATGACTCTTTTAGCTGAGACAGTGACTCAGTGACCACTTTAGGTAAAGTTGAGTCAAGAGTCAGTGTCTCCTCTAACCAGCACAAGCATCTGACCCCTGCACCTGTAGCCAGTGCACCTGTCCTTACATGACCTACACCATGACAACAGTAAAACAAACAACCTGTCTAAAGGAGGAAGCTGTTAGTGCTTGGGTTTTTTAAAAACTAAATGTGGGTCAAGGTTCACAGTTTTACAAGTTACATGATTTATTACTTATCTTAAGGTGATTTTTTTTCTCTTACAGACTTTAATAAGATGCATGACTTATCTTAAGGAAACTTTTTTTTTTACCATTACTTTATGAGCCTGATGTATTTTAATGAACCCGGGTGTTTTTTTTCACAGATTTTTTTTTTACTGCTTAAACTATAATATATGTATTACTTATCTCAAGGAAACATGGGTTTGTTTTACTGCTACAGACCAAATTTAATAGTCCCCCCCCCTTCCATCTGTAAAAATGATGATGCTTGTAAAATAGTTTAAATAACAGCCGGTGACATTTTACATTTTTGGACATTTTACATTTTTGTTAGTGCACTAGCACTGAAATGGTTTTAAACTAAGGTAGTTTAATTAATTTAATTTTAATTAATTAATCAAGCTTATGTGGGGTTGTGTTGTTTTTTTTTGCTCCACACATTACTGTAACATAAATACTACTTAAGCCTTAACATGGCAACATTTTAATTAGTTATTAGTTTTTGAATTAAACATTTTTTTTGTGATGAAGATTTATTAGTCTAGAGTTACAAAAAACGGAAGTTGACCTTTTTCAACGAGAATGTGATGTCTTGGAGAGTGGGGCCGGTGAAGATTTTGTTCACTCCCTCTGTCTCCACGTTGTCATTCAGGCTTTCATCTTCCTCGTCTTTTTTCTCTTTCTTCTTCTTCTTTTTCTTTGATTTTGCTACTGATCCTAAAATAGATGAGTCAGTGTCAGAGTGTAAGAGGTAGAGCCTGCTAGAGTAATATACTATAGAGACTAGATGTAAATTACAAACTCTTCCTCGTTCCATTTTTATTTTAGCTGATACCATGGGAAAATAAATATAGAACCTTAGGTGGTCGGACATTATTTAGCTGATTCTAGGAATAAGTAATATAAAATATTAGGTGGCCTGATATTATTTAAGCTGATACCAGGAAAAATGAATATAGAACATTAGTTGATCTAATAATATTTTAACTGATTCTAGGGATAAATAATATTAAAAAAATATTAGGTGGTCTGATATTATTTTAGCGGATATTAAAAATAAATAATGTAAATTATAAAGTGGTCTGACATTATTTTAGCTGATTCTAAGAATGATAAAAAATATTAAATGGTCAGACATTATTAACAAGGAAGAAAAGAATATTGAACATTATATGGTCTTATTATTTTAGCTGTTATAGAAAATTAGGTGGTCTGATATTATTTTAGCTTATAAGGAAGAAATATTATAGAACAATATTTGTGTTCTGACATCCAATAAATTAAGGGCTTAAAAAACCCAATAAAATCCTATCCATCAATTCATCCACAAACTTTAGTAGGGACAGATAGAAGGCACCTTGCACAAACCAGCACCTACAAGGTTAGACATGCTCTACATTTTAATCCAACTGGGAACATGTTAAGTAGGTTGACCAAAATAATCTAGATAACCAGAGAAATTGATGTAACTGGAGCTGACACTACACAAGGTCATACAACAATTTCAGAGGTGAATTAGAATTGACTATAGCACTGGAGACAGTAGGGGGTGTAGGGTGGATGACAACAGACACACAAGGTCATGCAACAATTTCAGAGGTGAATTAGAATTGACTATAGCACTGGAGACAGTAGGGGGTGTAGGGTGGATGACAACAGACACACAAGGTCATGCAACAATTTCACAGGTAAAGTAGATTTGACCAGGGGCGTAGCGAGGGGGGGGGGCGGGGGGTGCGGACCACACCGGGTGACACCATTTAGGGGGGTGACACCAAGGCAAAAAATAGCAAAATATATAGAGAAAAACTCGAGGGGGGGTGCAAATCGAAAGTTTGAGGGGGGGAGGTGCAAATCAAAATCTTGAGAGGGGGGGTGCAAATCGAAAGTTTGAGGGGGGGGGGGGTGCAAATCGAAAATTTGAATGTTTGTCCCTGGGAAGGGTCTCTATGCCTCTGGGGGGGTGACACCATTAAGTGCCGCACCGGGTGACACCCGACCTCGCTACGCCACTGGATTTGACCTAAGTACTGGGTACAGTAGGGGGTAAAGGGTGTATGATGACAGACTGAGACACACAAGTAAGCAATTTATCACGCAGTTTCATAGAGTGCAATTCAGAATTCAATATACCATAAACTACATAGCAATTTGTCATACACAATTCCATAATGTGCTATTCAGAATATTTCAATAAACTACATAGTAATTTATTATACAGTTACGTAGTGTGCTATTCATATTCTTACCATAAGCTACATGTATGGTTGGCTAAGTTATTTAAAGTTCACTTTTATCAGAATTTGTTTTAAAATTGGTTCTTTTCAAACCTAATGCTCATGCTTTATATGGTGAATAGAGTAGAGTTCTTCTGTTTTTTGGAACTGACATATGAAGGAATGGTGTGGTCAGTATTGTACCCAGCCACCCTTACTTACTTTTATAAGATCTGGGTGGACTCAGGAGTACCTTACCCACTTATGTCTGAGAACAAACTTGTCACAGTTACCATTTAGGAGGTCCCTAGAGACTTATGGCTGAGACCAACTTTCTGACTTTGTCAAGCTTACAATTCCAAAATTGTACCTGAGTTCAAGCACAATTAACTATTGCCACTAGTATCAGAGCTAATGAATAATGTCCCACAGCACATTATTAATAAAAAATGGAAAAGAAACAATTTTCCATTTCCAATTAGTCAAATACCTTAGCAATATTTTTTACCATTGCACTTTAGTATAAAATATTAAAACAATATTTACCATTGTACATATGAATATCAAGACAATATTTACCATTGTACATATGAATATCAAGACAATATTTACCATTGTACATATGAATATCAAGACAATATTTACCATTGTACATATGAATATCAAGACAATATTTACCATTGTACATATGAATATCAAGACAATATTTACCATTGTACATATGAATATCAAGACAATATTTACCATTGTACATATGAATATCAAGACAATATTTACTATAGCACATATGAATATCAAGACAATATTTACCATTGTACATATGAATATCAAGACAATATTTACCATTGCACATATGAATATCAAGACAATATTTACCATTGCACATATGAATATCAAGACAATATTTACCATTGCACATATCTTTCTTTGAATGAGCTTGAGTCCAAGTCAATGACGCACTGTTCATCTCAACAGCAATATTGCTTGATGTTGGAAGAGGGAGAGAATTTATCTCATCCATCAGAAGTATTTCCTGCATTCAAATATAAATATTAAAAACTTTAATCTGGATAGGAATTGAAAAGCAACAAAGCAAATTTGTATTTAAAAAAAACTATTAGATATGTAGACAATTTTAAAATCTAATAACAAAATGAAATAGTTATGAACTGTTTCTGTTCTGAATTACAGGATAAATGGAAAAAAATATGGTACAGCAAGTAAAATATTACAACTTTGTGATATTTAAATATTTTATAAATGAATTTTTTAAAAATTTAATATTCCATGTAAGTAATGTGTAAACATTTAATGACTGTATCGACCAATGGCCGGTGTCACTAGGCTTCCATTATAAAACATAAATATTTATAAACATAAGCATCAAGATCCAACTTACCTGAAATCTTCTAGTTGTGACTACCATATCATAAATATTTATAAACATAAGCATCAAGATCCAACTTACCTGAAATCTTCTAGTTGTGACTACCATATCATAAATATTTATAAACATAAGCATCAAGATCTAACTCACCTGAAATCTTCTAGTTGTGACCACCATTTCTGAGAGAGCTTTCAATGCAAATGGTATGGTGGCCATGGAGGACTGCATGGTGTTGAGCAGGGATACAAATGTGAAGGCCTGTAACAAAAAAAGATGTTTGTATGCAACATTGCGCTACTACAACTGTATGCTGGTGTTGTATTTAAACTAATGATGTAGCCCTACATAGAGACACAAAATTAGGACCTAAACAAAATTAATTGTATTCATCAGTGGAGTAGCGAGGTTGGGTTTCACCCGGTGCGGCACTTAATGGTGTCATCCCCCATTTTTGCTATTTTTTGCCTTGGTGTCACCCCCCCCCCCCTAAATGGTGTCACCCGGTGCGGTCCGCACCCCCCGCCCCCTCGCTACGCCACTGGTATTCATCTGTATGCTTCTGTCCTCAAATTATTTATAAAGACTCATATGATTATATGCATCAGTTGTTATCAAATAATTCATATAGATTATGTATGTAGATTTAAGTTGTAATTATGTAAACAAGGCTTACATTGTAACAACTTCTTCTAGCTACCTCTTTGAACCAATGACATCTAAAGATAGTCCTACTACAAATACTAATATTTAAAGAGCTGTAAAACTTATATTTTAGCTGGAAAACACCATTAAAACAAATAATACACATATTTTTTAAAAACAAATAATACACATATTTTTTACTATATTTTATTTGAGATTTCTTAAGTTGAGCTTTGGAGCAAGTTCAGCTTTACTAAGTACCTGGCATCAGCAAATTATAAAAGTGAAGATAACTTCTAGACTACAGTCATCCATCTAAAGACCCCCCCCCCCATATCACTTTTAACTTGAATGTACACTTTTTCTCTCATATTGTTGTGATGGAGTTTTTATGCAATTTAACAAATAATTAAAATGTGATTTTTTTTTCTCACTAAAAAAGCTGTTTTTAGCAAGACTGATTAGTCAGATGGAGAAGTTGCATAAGCTTTTTATAAGAAAGTGATCTAGGTTGTAATCTGGGGTACAATATTATTCCAGTTGGTTAAACTGTAAAAAAACAACTCAATAAAATTAAATCTGATGTCAAATTACCTCCATGGCCGTTAAATTATGTCCAGTGGCGACGTAGGCAATGAACATGAGGCAGCTGGCAAAGATGGGGACAAGCATGGAGGATCCCATGCTGACACTCTGTACAAACACACTTTTCTCTAGGATGGATTTCTCATCTGATCTGATATCTGGGGACAGGTCAAAGTTCACATGTTTGGTAGGTGATTGGTTGAGGTAATGTTTGGGGGCTAAGGTGATTGGCTGAGGTAATGTTTGGGGGCTGATTGGTTGAGGTAATGTCTGGTAGGTGATTGGTTGAGGTAATGTTTGGTAGGTAATTGGTTGAGGTAATGTTTGGGGGCTAAGGTGATTGGTTGAGGTAATGTTTGGGGGTGATTGGTTGAGGTAATGTTTGGGGGCTAAGGTGATTGGTTGAGGTAATGTTTGGGGGCTAAGGTGTTTGGTTGAGGTAATGTTTGGTGGGTGATTGGTTGAGGTAATGTTTGTTGGTTAAGGTGATTGGTTGAGGTAATGTTTGTTGGTTAAGGTGATTGGTTGAGGTAATGTTTGGTAGGTGATTGGTTGAGGTAATGTTTGGTAGGTGATTGGTTGAGGTAATGTTTGTTGGTTAAGGTGATTGGTTGAGGTAATGTTTGTTGGTTAAGGTGATTGGTTGAGGTAATGTTTGGGGGCTAAGGTGATTGGTTGAGGTAATGTTTGTTGGTTAAGGTGATTGGTTGAGATAATGTTTGTTGGTTAAGGTGATTGGTTGAGGTAATGTTTGTTGGTTAAGGTGATTGGTTGAGGTAATGTTTGTTGGTTAAGGTGATTGGTGAGGTAATGTTTGGTAGGTAATTGGTTGAGGTAATGTTTGGGGGCTAAGGTGATTGGTTGAGGTAATGTTTGGTAGGTGATTGGTTGAGGTAATGTTTGGGGGCTAAGGTGATTGGTTGAGGTAATGTTTGGTAGGTGATTGGTTGAGGTAATGTTTGGGGGCTAAGGTGATTGGTTGAGGTAATGTTTGGGGGTGATTGGTTGAGGTAATGTTTGGTTGGTGATTGGTTGAGGTAATGTTCGGGGGCTAAGGTGATTGGTTGAGGTAATGTTTGGTAGGTGATTGGTTGAGGTAATGTTTGGGGGTGATTGGTTGAGGTAATGTTTGGGGGTGATTGGTTGAGGTAATGTTTGGGGGTTAAGGTGATTGGTTGAGGTAATGTTTGGGGGTTAAGGTGATTGGTTGAGGTAATGTTTGGTGGGTGATTGGTTGAGGTAATGTTTGGTAGGTGATTGGCTGAGGTAATGTTTGGGGGTGATTGGTTGAGGTAATGTTTGGGGGTTAAGGTGATTGGTTGAGGTAATGTTTGGTAGGTGACTGGTTGAGGTCATGTTTGATAAATGCTTGGCTAAGTTAACATTTGATAGCTAAGGTCGTTGGCTAAGTTAACATTTGATAAAGAAGGTAATTGGCTAAGGTAATGTTAGATAGCTAAGGTGATTTGCTAAGTTAACATTTGATAGCTAAGGTGATTGGCTAAAATAATGTTTGGTAGCTAAGGTGATTGGTTAAGGTATTGTTTGATAGCTAAAGCGATTGGTTAAGCATTTTGTTCTATGTCTTGTGATAGCTAAGGTGATTGGCTAAGTTAACATTTGATAAATAAAGTGACTGGCTACATTAACATTTGATGGCTTAACTGATTGGCTAAGCATTTTTTCTATGTGTTTTGGTATTGAATAAGTTTGGACTGTTTTTTAACATGGCTTTAAATTTACATGCACCATAATAGTTTGCTGACATTTATGAAAACTTATTATTTATTTAATGAAAATGCTGATAATAATTTAATTTTATTAAAAATAATGTCACTTTCGTGACAGTAAATTAAAAAAAAATTATTATTGACGATGCTAAGGGAGTTACTTAATTTGGTATGTCATAAAAGTTAAATAAAAACCTAATCACCATAAGACTACACCAAATTTACTTAAAGCATTTAACTCTAACCTGAAATCTTATTAGCAAATGAAGATTCCCAAGCATACATTTTAATTAACTTAATGGATGTAAGAAGCTCGTTCATTAGCCCAACCTGAGGATGAGATTATGAAATTGTTTGCAATCAATCAATTAAACATAATCAGCTACATCGTATGTAAAACGGTTTAGGATTAAAAAGATTTATTTTAGTCATATGCAATGAAACATGAATTTTTATTTACTTTTCACAAATAATGTTTCTTAAATTTATTTTGAAATGATTAAAATTATTTACAATTTTATTTATATGTGGTGGTGGGTTTGATGTAAATTATTGGAAAACATACCCGTTGATCTGTAATTTTAATACTGTTTTCTCTGTAATTTTGTGATAACTTTGCAAATGACATCTGTGTAAGAGAAAGTATTATAAGAAAATATTATTTTATGTATTTAAGAAAAAATATAATATTAAATTATACGTAGAATATATATCAAATCTTTGTATTTTTAGAATCCATAAAATGTAAATCAATGTACTGAGTGAATGAAACTTACAGCAAAGGGATAGAAGCCAAGGATGATGATGAAGCTGATTAATGCCCATGGGCCTAAGAAGACAACGCTGTAGACACAGCTGATGACCACAATCATTGGAGCACCAATGAGGAATGGACCCATGATGATGCCGTCCCAGATGCGTTGTCCATCATTGCTGATAAGGTTCACCATCTGGTCAAAATATGGACAGGAAAATTGTACGTTAGGATAGAAATACTTGCAGAAAAAACGCTTCGCCACCGTTTCTACAAGTACGGGAAATTATTATCTAAGTCACATTAAAAATTTTTTCCACTCCATAGAACGCTAAAACACATAAGTTGAACATGTGACTATTATTATTTTCAAACTACTGTGATAATTTTTTGTGCCAACCACCCAACCACTCCCCCATTAGTAAGCTGTTGGTAACATAATTATATAAATAAATTTACATCTCAAATTGCCCTGCGCATCCAACCTCAACCCTTACCCCACTCCCTAAGGCTAACCCACTGACTATAACCTAATGCTATTGTTCAATAAACTTATTCTCCCGTTTGTAAAAAACAAAAATGTTTACATCTCCAACTGTCTTGTCCTTGAGTGTCTTAAGGTGTAAAATCTTCTTGTAGAGCAGAGCTAGAGACCCATACTTGATACGAGCAGCTGGGAGGGTAAAAACATCACAACTTATAAATCTATGTCAGCTAATTATGTTAACTATACAATACAATCATCAACATCAACATTATCTTCTTCATCATCATCAATATATTCATGATCATTATATTTATCACCATCATCATTATCCTCTTTATAATCATCACTATTATCTTTTTCTTCTTCATTATCATCATCATCTGCTTCATCATTATCATTCCTATCAACCTCAAGCAACATATGGACACAAGTACACCTCTCCATCCTACTGAATTTTAGCTAATTCAAACAAATTGGGTCCATGATTAAAAACAATAACTTTGGGTATTTCCCCTATAAGCAGTCTTAGTACATCAGGTGGGACTGACCTGCTTCATAGTTGACCATCCAGAAGAATGCACCGGTCAGGCCTCTGAGTAGCAGGATCAGACCTAGACAAGCAGCGTACACGATCCCTGACCTGATGGTCACTGTCTCCTCGGACAGGTAGGTCAAGAAATATCTAATGACCAGGATCTAGAGAAATATAAAACTTTTAGGTCAAGAAATATCTAATGACCAGGATCTAGAGAAATATAAAACTTTTAGGTCAAGAAATATCTAATGACCAGGATCTAGAGAAATATAAAACTTTTAGGTCAAGAAATATCTAATGACCAGGATCTAGAGAAATATAAAACTTTTAGGTCAAGAAATATCTAATGACCAGGATCTAGAGAAATACAAAACTTAGGTCAAGAAATATCTAATGACCAGGTTCTAGAGAAACAAAACTTTTAGGTCAAGAAATATCTAATGACCAGGATCTAGAGAAATACAAAACTTTTAGGTCAAGAAATATCTAATGAACAGGATCTAGAGAAACACAAAACTTTTAGGTCAAGAAATATCTAATGACCAGGATCTAGAGAAATACAAAACTTTTAGGTCAAGAAATATCTAATGACCAGGTTCTAGAGAAACAAAACTTTTAGGTCAAGAAATATCTAATGACCAGGATCTAGAGAAACACAAAACTTTTAGGTCAAGAAATATCTAATGACCAGGATCTAGAGAAATACAAAACTTTTAGGTCAAGAAATATCTAATGACCAGGATCTAGCTAGAGAAATACAAAACTTTTAGGTCAAGAAATATCTAATGACCAGGATCTAGAGAAATACAAAACTTTTAGGTCAAGAAATATCTAATGACCAGGTTCTAGAGAAACATAAAACTTTTAGGTCAAGAAATATCTAATGACCAGGATCTAGAGAAATACAAAACTTTTAGGTCAAGAAATATCTAATGACCAGGATCTAGAGAAACATAAAACTTTTAGGTCAAGAAATATCTAATGACCAGGATCTAGAGAAACACAAAACTTTTAGGTCAAGAAATATCTAATGACCAGGATCTAGAGAAACATAAAACTTTTAGGTCAAGAAATATCTAATGACCAGGATCTAGAGAAATATAAAACTTTTAGGTCAAGAAATATCTAATGACCAGGATCTAGAATAAAATAAAACTTTTAGGTCAAGAAATATCTCATTACCAGGATCTAGAGAAACACAAAACTTTTAGGTCAAGAAATATCTAATGATCAAAATTTAAAAAAAAATATTTTTAAGTCAAGAAATACTGATCACCACGATCTAGAAAAACAAATCTTTAGGGTCAAGAAATATATGATGATCAGAATCTTTAAAAAAAAAAACATTTTTAGGTCAAGAAATATCTCATGACCAGGTTCTAGAGAAACATAAAACTTTTAGGTCAAGAAATATCTAATGACCAGGATCTAGAGAAACACAAAACTTTTAGATCAAGATATATCTAAATGACCAGGATCTAGAGAAACACAAAACTTTTAGATCAAGATATATCTAAATGACCAGGATCTAGAGAAACACAAAACTTTAAGGTCAAGAAATATCTGATGACCAGGATCTAGAAAAATTTAAAAATAAGCAAAACAACAAAGCTTTGAAAAATGTAGAGCAAACTAAAGACGTGGCATGAAGATCAAATTTACACTTGTTGTGAAATAGTTATTAAAAATAAATAACCAATAATTGAAATTTTAAAAAAATAGAATAAAGGTAATTGCACATGCTTATTTTTTTTTATGATCTAGATTCAAGATCTACAATTCCACTCCATTTTTCAATGGCATTATCAAATTATAAGCCTATATCCAATATTTTAATAGGATTACTGTAATTATGAATTCTAAACAATTCATTAATATTTGATTCAACACGTTTTGTTTAATCAGCATGTCTGACAACTGGGACATGTGGCTAACAACCTGATGCTGTTTATTCTAGACTCTAATTGGGGCTACAGCTTATTAAAAAAATGTACACCATTCAAACATATTTTGTTTCAAGAAAAAAATAAATGAAAACTAAAAAAGATAATGTTAAAAATATTAAATACATAATAGACAACACAAATTATGCTGGATGAAATAACCTTAAAAAAAATAAAATAAAATAACTAGCTTATCTATATAAAAAATAAATAAAATGGAAGTTTTTAAAGCCAAAAACTTGTATTAATGCTATATTTTAGATATATTTTTTTAAGAACCTGGTTAATTTAGTAAAAAAAAAACAGGGAGAAGGAGGGGGGGTATCAACAAAAATAAACATCTCGTAAATGTATCAATTTTCGCTGCCCTCAACAAACCCAAATCCGCATGCTCACTGCTAAAACAAATCAGTTTCTCACCCCCCTACACCACCCCAATATAACCACTATTGTCATTTAAAAAGCTGCTTTATTTATCTACTGCACATTTACCATAACCACCCCACCCTTGCAGTTGAGTCGCTAATTGTCTGACACCTGCATGTAGATTAACTTAATAAGTAATTAAACTAACTGAGAAAAGCAGATTTCCTCATTAATCTTTGTTTTGGTGTCACACCCCCCCCCCCCACCCCGTAGATGGTGTCACCTACTGATAGAAAACAGAAGAAGTGTTTCTTCCAGACTTTTTTTCTCTGAGGAGGGGGGGGGCACTTGATATTTGGGGGGGGGGGCAACATTTTTCAAGGGGCCGGACACTAGAGAAAGTGTATGTTTACTATATAAATTCCATACCGGTTGGGGGGGCAGTAGACTTACTTTGGGGGGGGGGGACAGAGCCCCCCCCTTACTGAAAGACAACAGAAGAACCTACTGATCAAAAACAGAAGAACCTACTGAAAGAAAACAGAAGAACCTACTGGGTTAGCCAAACTGAGAAAAGCGTAGACCAGACTGGCAAAAGCTCCAATGATGATTCTTGTCTTGAAGGAGCGGAAGATTGCGCTGCCAAACGATGCCGCTGCTGCTCCCTTGGTACCGAGTTCTTCCTCCCAAAACCTTTCCATCCTGAAACAGATATTTACCATTGCATTACAAATAAGAAGAAAAAACAAAAAGCATTTTATAGCAAAAATAAATAAAGGGGGGGAATCTATACATGACGTTACACTTTTTTTTTAACCTACTCCCCTCGGTCACACATTGTCACAAAAAGCCAGCCCCCCCCCCCCCTCCCAAAAAAATGACGTCATACCTCAGCCTACAACACCCCGAAGTTAAATTTTTCTTAAAAGAAAATACTAAAAACTTGACTGAGATCAGTCAGCACCTGTATTTTAATCAAGTTCTATTCCAATTAATTAAAACAATTTTCTTAAAAGCTAAATAACGGCCGAAATTCGTTTTTTTTTAATGCAAAAATGTGACGTCATATTATCCGAACCCCCCCCCCCCCAAACACAAATCGTCACTCAATTAAGGGTCCCCTTCGAGTGTGACGTCATGTATGGACGACCCCCTAAAGTAGAAAACAATATTTAAAAATTTAAGAGATGTAGAATCTAATAGCAAAGAAAATAACTTATTATTTTAACCGGCAATGAAATGAACATGTTAATATGATTGCCATTTTAGACACAGTTAAGATTCGAAAAGAATCTACCTGCCCCCTCTCTCACAGTAAGGTAAGTTCAACCTTTTAAAAACTACACTCTATAATTTGACAAGTAACTGATTACAGTGGACAGTTAGGGGGGGGGGGGGGGGATGGAGAGAGATATATATATATGCGCACTAAAACCTGTAGGATGAACTTTAAAAAAAATGACATTATTATAGTGGTAGGTCTACTCATAATAATACAAGAGGTTCTCCGTCGAGGACGCAACTTTTTAGGTGGGGATGCGAACACCGGTAAACGGTAAAAGGATATAGGCCTATTTTATGTTCTATGTAAATTCTTCTTCGTTCGTATGGGGGGGGGGGGGGGGAGGGAGACTGGGCTGATATCTAGCCATGCACTTAACGTTTAGCGTTAGGTTCAGTGTTTCTTTCGGGCATCTGCCCGGTAAGTGAGCGCGTCCAACGGCCCTATCTCAAGCGATATATAAAACTTACCCATTGACCCCCCCCCCCCCCAACTTATAAATGATCTACCCCCGAAGAATGCAGAACTATCTGCGTATAATTGATTATACAAATAGCTTTTAACAAAAGCATAACAAAAACTGGTATCAGATGATTGCGTCTGTTGTAGTGCGTTCTTCATTCTGCGCTCCCAAGGGAACGAACACACAACGGAAATTATTTTTAAAAAGTCACATGACACCACAGAGTCCGGCCATTGGCTAGAGAAATTTAAAAAACGCGTGTGTATTGTTGATAGAGTGCTGAGGTCTTAAAAACCAACAACTTGCACTAGTGGGTTTTTGTTTAATAAAAAAAAACGTTTTTTTACTTGGTAATTTTTTTAAGAAGTGTGCTATATTAATGAAAGCAGTGTGTTAACAGTAAGGGTAGGCGTACGTTTGTAAGGGTAGTCGTGTACGTCCGTAAGTGTAGTCGTGTACGTCTGTAAGTGTAGTCGTGTACGTTTGTAAGGGTAGTCGTGTACGTCCGTAAGTGTAGTCGTGTACGTCTGTAAGTGTAGTCGTGTACGTCCGTAAGTGTAGTCGTGTACGTTTGTAAGTGTAGTCGTGTACGTCTGTAAGTGTAGTCGTGTACGTCTGTAAGGGTAGTCGTGTACGTCTGTAAGTGTAGTCGTGTACGTTTGTAAGTGTAGTCGTGTACGTCTGTAAATGTAGTCGTGTACGTCTGTAAGTGTAGTCGTGTACGTCTGTAAGTGTAGTCGTGTACGTTTGTAAGTGTAGTCGTGTACGTCTGTAAATGTAGTCGTGTACGTCTGTAAATGTAGTCGTGTACGTCTGTAAATGTAGTCGTGTACGTCTGTAAGTGTAGTCGTGTACGTCTGTAAATGTAGTCGTGTACGTCTGTAAATGTAGTCGTGTACGTCTGTAAGTCTTAGTGTAGTCGTGTACGTCTGTAAGTCTTAGTGTAGTCGTGTACGTCTGTAAATGTAGTCGTGTACGTCTGTAAGTCTTAGTGTAGTCGTGTACGTCTGTAAGTCTAGTCGTGTACGTCTGTAAGTGTAGTCGTGTACGTCTGTAAGTGTAGTCGTGTACGTCTGTAAGTGTAGTCGTGTACGTCTGTAAGTGTAGTCGTGTACGTCTGTAAGTGTAGTCGTGTACGTCTGTAAGTGTAGTCGTGTACGTCTGTAAGTGTAGTCGTGTACGTCCGTAAGTGTAGTCGTGTACGTCTGTAAGTGTAGTCGTGTACGTCCGTAAGTGTAGTCGTGTACGTCTGTAAGTCTAGTCGTGTACGTCTGTAAGTGTAGTCGTGTACGTCCGTAAGTGTAGTCGTGTACGTCTGTAAGTGTAGTCGTGTACGTCCGTAAGTGTAGTCGTGTACGTCTGTAAGTGTAGTCGTGTACGTCTGTAAGTGTAGTCGTGTACGTCTGTAACTGTAGTCGTGTACGTCTGTAACTGTAGTCGTGTACGTCTAAGTGTAGTCGTGTACGTCTGTAAGTGTAGTCGTGTACGTCTGTAAGTGTAGTCGTGTACGTCTGTAAGTGTAGTCGTGTACGTCTAAGTGTAGTCGTGTACGTCTGTAAGTATAATCGTGTACGTCTGTAAGTGTAGTCGTGTACGTCTGTAAGTCTAGTCGTGTACGTCTGTAAGTGTAGTCGTGTACGTCTGTAACTGTAGTCGTGTACGTCTAAGTGTAGTCGTGTACGTCTGTAACTGTAGTCGTGTACGTCTAAGTGTAGTCGTGTACGTCTGTAAGTGTAGTCGTGTACGTCTAAGTGTAGTCGTGTACGTCTGTAAGTATAATCGTGTACGTCTGTAAGTGTAGTCGTGTACGTCTGTAAGTCTAGTCGTGTACGTCTGTAAGTGTAGTCGTGTACGTCTGTAACTGTAGTCGTGTACGTCTAAGTGTAGTCGTGTACGTCTGTAAGTGTAGTCGTGTACGTCTGTAAGTGTAGTCGTGTACGTCTGTAAGTGTAGTCGTGTACGTCTAAGTGTAGTCGTGTACGTCTGTAAGTGTAATCGTGTACGTCTGTAAGTGTAGTCGTGTACGTCTGTAAGTCTAGTCGTGTACGTCTGTAAGTGTAGTCGTGTACGTCTGTAACTGTAGTCGTGTACGTCTAAGTGTAGTCGTGTACGTCTGTAAGTGTAGTCGTGTACGTCTGTAAGTGTAGTCGTGTACGTGTAAGGGTATCGTGTACGTCTGTAAGTGTACTCGTGTACGTCTGTAAGTGTAGGCGTGTACGTCTGTAAGTCTAGTCGTGTACGTCTGTAAGTGTAGTCGTGTACGTCTGTAAGTGTAGTCGTGTACGTCTGTAAGTGTAGTCGTGTACGTCCGTAAGTGTAGTCGTGTACGTGTAAGGGTATCGTGTACGTCTGTAAGTGTTATCGTGTACGTCTGCTTGTTCTGAATGGAGGGAAACAAATCCAGGTTAACCGGAAGTGACGTCATTTTACACTGTGAGTAGGCCCTACCTGGGGAAAACAGCCGGTGTTTAAAAAAAAAGTAAAATGTTGCGCTATTTCAACACATGAGGGGGTCATCCATAAATGATGCCATGGAATTTCAACCCAGTTTTAACTTTTTTTAAAAATATATTTTATTCATTTACAACAGTTTCTTTAATTTAAAAGGTTAAACCATGTTTTGGAAATATGTCGTTTAACATATATCATTTAAAATAACAGATTTCAATTTTTCCATTGAAGTATTCATAGATTTTACTAATTTTAACATATTTCAGTAACCTTGATTTGAAAATACACGTTTTGTAAAGCCAGACATCCCCCTTTCCCCACCCTTTAAATGTCAGAGCTAGCCCCCCCCCCCCCCCACTTATCTAACATGATTTTAAACGTCCTGTATTCTTTCCAATAATTTGGAGGTATAACATGTACGTTACGTCACATTACTGAATCATCTTCTCCCTCCATGGGTACCCGACCCACGTTAGGGAGAGTAAAGGCGGCTAGGCTCTCCACACCAGAGGCGTAGAGATGGGGGGTGGGGGCAGAGGGTACATATGTCCCCGGGCGCCGACCTTAGGGGGCGCCAAAATGGGTTGTAAAACAAATTAAAATGTCGTTTTGGCTGCATTTTTGCATTATAAATAGTTTTAGGGGGATGGTGCGAATCGAAAGTTTGAGAGGGGGGGGGGAATGCAAATTGCAAAATTTGTCCCCGGGCGCCGGGAAGGGTCGCCTCTGCTCCACACTATCCCTCCATTAGCCGAGGTCACTGAAACAGGTGAACTCTACTTCACCTGCCCCTTTGTACCGTTAAGTTCGAAATGGTACCTTAAATAAATCAACTTTTAACAATAACTACAATATTCAAAAGACATTTTTTTTTAAAGTGGAGACTATTTAATCCACACCCAGAGTCCCCCAGATTTGAAGTAACATACAGAGGCGTAGCGAGGGGGGGGGGGCGGGGGGAGGGACATATGTCCCCGGGTGCCGACCTTAGGAGGGGGGCGACAAATTGAAAGTTTGAGGGGGGGGGTGCAAATCGAAAGATTGTTCCCGGGCGCCGGGAAGGGTCGCTACGCCTCTGGTAACATATGGTACATCTGTTGGGGTGTCAAGACTATTAACAGCATTGACAAAAAGAAACAACACCAAAAAAAAAATCTTGTATTTAAAAAGAAATTTCCAAAAGAAAGTAATGCGAAAGAAAAATACGGTTGATCTTCTGCAACACGGATTCAAATTTCTTGAGAGCGCCCCGTAAATTGCCCTGAGCGCCTCTTCAGCACGTGTTTTACATTAAATGAAATTTTTCTGGTGAGGGGGGGGGGGGGGGGGGGGATTTTGTTTTCGTGATGTACACGTTTACACAAGTCGTTTAACCCTAACTGACTCTGTAGGAAGATCGCATTATAAATGTATGAGATAAAAGCCAAACCGATTTAAAAAAAACAAAACGATGCGCATTTTGCGTTTAAAAAAAAAAAGAAAGAAGCAAAAGAAAATGTAAATTAT